CCTCTCCTCTCCTCTCCTCTCCTCTCCACTCCACTCCACTCCTCTCTTCCCTCCCATATTTTCTATTCTATTCTATTCTATTCTATTCTATTCTTCATTCCAATATTTATTCTATTCTATTCCATTCCATTCCATTCCATTCCATTAATAATTGTATTGTATTGTATTGTATTGTATTGTATTGTATTGTATTGTATTGTATTGTATTGTATTGTATTGTATTCTATTGTATTCTATTCTATTCTATTCTATTCTATTCTATTCTATTCTATTCTAGTCCTGACAGTTAGGACAATTAATCAGTGGAACGACTTGCCTCCAGAAGTTGTGAATGCTCCAACACTGGAAGTTTTTAGGAAGATGTTGGATAACCATTTGTCTGAAGTGGTGTAGGGTTTCCTGCCTGGGCAGGGGGTTGGACTAGAAGACCTCCAAGGTCCCTTCCGACTCTGCTATTCTATTCTATTCTATTCTATTCTATTCTATTCTATTCTATTCTATTCTATCTATTCTATTCTATTCTATGCCCTTCCCTTCTTTTCCTTTCTCTTCTCTTCTCTTTTCTCTCCTCTCCTCTCTTCCCTCCGCTCCCTCCCCTCCCATATTTTCTCTTCTCTTCTCTTCTCTTCTCTTCTCTTCTCTTCTCTTCTCTTCTCTCCTCTCCTCTCCTCTCCTTCCTTCCTCTCCTCTCCTCCTCTCCACTCCACTCCACTCCTCTCTTCCCTCCCATATTTTCTATTCTATTCTATTCTATTCTATTCTATTCTTCATTCCAATATTTATTCTATTCTATTCCATTCCATTCCATTCCATTCCATTAATAATTGTATTGTATTGTATTGTATTGTATTGTATTGTATTGTATTGTATTGTATTGTTATTCTATTCTATTCTATTCTATTCTATTCTATTCTATTCTATTCTATTCTATTCTATTCTATTCTTCTGCTTATTAGCCACGAGATTAACTAACTACCTGTGATTTCTAGCTTAGTCTCCTTGTAACATCTGGGGTTATTCAGATATTGGCAAGGAAATATGCAATTGTCACTCTAGCTCACATTAAGCCACAGTTTTCCTTATCATGTTGCACTGAAGAATTTACAATTAGCCAGGAACACAAGAGAAGGCCAAACCAAACCGAAGCCTGCTCACTTAGGTACCTGCGCACACCCCAAAATACTGTCGCTCCTGGGTGTCTGGAGAAGGAATCGAGGCTGCCGGGTAGCTGAGCTTTGGACAGTTAATCAATAAAGAAAGGTAAATAGATTTGGGGTGGACCTTGGCGGTTATGTTCACCTGGGCTATTCTGTTATCAGCCTGTTGGAAAGGAGGGTGATTGGTGTCAAGGTTGGGGTGAAAGATTAAAAAATGGGAGTTTTTAAGAGCAGCCCCCTACTCCAGAGGTCTCCAACCTTGGCAACTTTAAGACTAGTGGACTTCAACTCCCAGAATTTCCCAGTCAGCTGGATCCGTTTCTTTTTCTCTTAACCTCTTAAAAGTGGAGAGATTGCAGAGGAAGGGATTACAAGAGAGTAAGCTTTGCTGGCTGAGGAACTCTGGGAGTTGAAGTCCACAAGTCTTAAAGTTGACAAGGTTGGAGACTCCTGCCTTACTCAGTACTGTATGAAAGCCGGGTTGAGGGAGAGAGTCAGGATAGCGAGCTCTCTTATGCTCCCTCATTGCACCCCTCTTTCTGATACTTAGGCTCCCAACTGCATTGTAAAAACAGGCCAGGGTTCAACCCAGACCATTGTGCAGCCATCTTGACTTTTTTGACCTTTTTGGAGACATCCCTGCTTTAGCTATTCTTTTCTACAAGAAAGGAAGACGTAGCTCTGAATACTTTACGTTAGGATGTCCAACCTTGGCAACTTTTTAAGACTTGTCGACTTCCAACTCCCAGAATTTCCCAGTCAGCATAGCTTACTCTCTTATGATCCCTTCCTCTGCAATCTCTCCACTTTAAGAGGTTTAAGAGAAAAAGAAACAGATCCGGCTGACTGGGGGAATTCTGGGAATTGAAGTCCACCGGTCTTTAAGTTGCCAAGGTTGGATTTACACTAAGTCATGACGCATGCAACATTTAAGTCACACAACATTTTAAAAATAATGTCCATGTTCTGTTTGGGACGGGGAGCCGGCGGATTGCAGAATGCATTGCTTTGCAAAGCTGATCTGGGAGTTCAACATGTCTGCATTTTTGATGCTTGGCCTCAGAACCGAAAGGAAGCGAGGCAAGAAAAGATCATTTCTCAGCCAGGCGATGTGGCTCAGGCTACAACCTTAATCCTCCCCGTTCTCTTTTGGGCAGAAGGGACAAAAGAAAGGCAGGTTAGATTTTTCGAATAAAGAAGGAAACTTTTCTAAGCAGGAATATTTGAGAAGGAAGTGCTAAAGGCCGTATTTGTTTAGGCGACATTACCTTCTCGCCGTCTGTTTTGCAGGAAATTTTGCAGAAAAAAAAGAGAGAGAGAGAGGCTGTTTTGGTGCCATTTTGCTAAGCCCCAAAGAGTAAACAGGCCCCCTCCACAGTTGCACGCTCCTCCCCGAAACAAGCCTCAGAGAGGCATTACCCCAAGAGCAGAAGGACAGCATGGCAGGATTGCCGGAGTTTCCTGCTCAGCCGTGCTTAGCGCTCAGAAAAGAGACCACCAGGAGATCCCGGGGACACACAAGACAGGAATGCCGCATGTTGTTTCCCAAGCAGTCTGTGTGTATGCTGTACCCTGGTGTTGTGGAATGATGAGACTAAACAACATTCCTGGGTCAGCCAGAGACAGTTTTATTGCACAAGGTTCAGAGCCAGTTTTGTACCTGAAGCTTTGAACAAGGAGAGAACTCTGATACAACTGGTTTTATACATTTCTAAGACAAAGGATTCGGTGAGATCATACATTTTCCATATATGGTCAACATGAGATCATACATTCTCCATATATGGCTAACCCACACCCGTCGTATGATAATTGACACACTTCCTAATTAATAAACCATTAGTAAACCATTATTTTTAGTTTATAAAATTATCTTAGATACACAACTTTTCTTAAGTGCTTGTGGTTGTTAATGGGAGAGTTACTGCTGTCCTTGGGTAAATTTATTGGATTAAGTAACTCTTTGTAACATATAGGTCTTTGTGTCATTCACAGTGAGGTCACTCAGATGTTTTCCATATGGCTGTCCTTCCGTGACATCTAGGTCTCATCAGAAGATATATTACCACTTAATGGGGTTTAACTGTTTGTTAATATAATTTCCAACAAGCACTTTTCTATCTTATAATAATGTGAATAGAGAGGTGTTCTCAGAGTTCATGTATCTAAGCACGTCTTCCCCTTATAATAATGTGAATAGAGAGGGTCCTTTAGAGCTCATATATCTGACTCTGTATGATTCCTTTCTTTTATCCACATTATCCACTCTTCCCTAAAGAGGTTATTCGCTTGCTTGTCAATCAGACTGCATTTCTTTTATTCTCAGAGAAAGTACAGAAGGAGATTGAAAATGCTCTGGATCCACATTACTGGGAGTGGCCTTATATCAGGGGTGAAATCTAGTAGGTTCTGACAGTTTCTGGAGAACCGGTAGCAGAAATTTTGAATAGTTTGGAGAACCAGCAAATACCACCTCTGGCTGACCGCAGAGTGGGATGGGAATGGAGATTTTGCAATATCCTTCCCCCAGGAGTGGGGAGGGAATGGAGATTTTGCAGTATCCTTCCTCTGCCACGCCCACCAAGCCACACCTATAGAACCGGTAGTAAATAAATTTGGATTTCACCACTGCCTTATAGCCAATGAACATGGAATATAGAATAATAAGAGTTGGAAGGGACACCGGAGGTCTTCTAGTCCAACCTCCTGCAGGACTGCACGGCAGGGTCGGCGGAGCTTCCCTACACACAGAAGCTCAGCATGCTTAGTACTTGGATGGGAGACCGCCAGGAAATCCCCAACCTGTTGCCCCTGCAGGCTCAGGATGATGGGCTCCGTAAGGGCCAACGACTCGCCCCCAAGAGTCAGAGATGGCACCAACTGACTATATATCTCTACAGGATCTCCTATATAGACTATAGGATCTCCTGCTTGGGGTGGGGGTTGGACTAGATGACCTCCAAGGGCCCTTCCAACTCTTATTCTATATTCAATAGAACACAAGTTGCTTTCAGAAGTTGTGGGAGCTTCATCCCTGGAGGCTTTCAAGACGAGACTGGAGTGAAACGGTGTCAGAAGTGGTGTAGGGTCTCCCGCTTGGGCGGGGTTGGACTAGATGACCTCCAAGGTCCCTCCAACACTATTATGTTATATTCAATGGAACAGAAGTTGCCTTCGGAAGTTGCGGCCAGTTGCTTCCAGCTTCATCCCTGGAAGCTTTCAGGAAGAGTCTGAACTGCCATTGTCAGAAGTGGTGCAGGATTGGACTAGATGACCTCCAAGTTCCCTTCCAACTCGGTTATTCTATATTCAATGGAACAGAAGTTGCTTTTGGATGTTGTGGGAGCTTCATCCCTGGAAGCTTTCAAGAGGAGACTGGAGTGAAACGGTGTCACAAGTGGTGCAGGGTCTCCTGCTTGGGGGGGTCGGACTAGATGACCTCCAAGGCCCCTCCAACACTATTATGTCATATTCAATGGAAGAGAAGTTGGGAGCTTCATCCCTGGAAGCTTTCAGGAAGAGACCGGACTGCCATCAGTCAGACATGGTGCAGGGTCTCCCGCTTGGGGGGGTCGGACTAGATGACCTCCAAGGTCCCTCCAACACTATTATGTTATATTCAATGGAACAGAAGTTGGGAGCTTCATCCCTGGAAGCTTTCAGGAAGAGATTGAACTGCCATTGTCAGAAGTGGTGCAGGGTCGGACTAGATGACCTCTAAGGTCCCTCCCCCCCGCTGTCTGCCTGGGGCCGGGCTCCGGAGGGCGGGCGGGCGGGAGGCGCCTGGCGCTGGCAGAGTACAGAAAAGCGGCGGCCCGAGGCAGGGGAGCCTCCGCGGGGCCGATGGAGCCGGAGGCGCCGCGGGACCTGCGGGCGCTGCTGGAGCGGGCGGGCGGGCGGGAGCCGCTGCGCTTGGCGGGCGAGGCGCGGCCGGCCGAGCTGGAGACCTTCGCCCGGGACCTCTTCGCCGAACCGCCGCCGGAGGAAGAACCAGAAGCACCAGCAGGAGGAACAGCGGCCGTTGCAGCGAAGCGGCGGCGGGCTCGGGTGCGCAGCGGGGCCGGGCGGCCTCCTTGGCGGGGCTGCGCGTTGCTCTTCGCCCTCTTCCGAGCCGCCTCGCTGGAGCAGCCGCGGGAGAAGCGCCGCCTGCGCGAGATCCTCCGCGACCTGCGCGCCCAGCTGCCCGCCGCCCCGCCGCCCGCCGTGGTCGGCGTGGTGCTCCTGCGGCAGCCCCCGCCGAGGCAGCCCGAGGCGGCGCGGCTGCAGCTGGAAGGGCTGCTCCGGACGGTCTTCCGCCACCCGGGGCTCCCGGAGACCTTGCAAGCCGTCGCTTACCGGCCCGGGGACGGCCGGGAGGCCCGGGAAGCCGCTTGCCGCGCGCTCCGAGCCGCCCTGAAGCTCCGAGCAGGTGCCCAGGGGGCTGGGAGGGAGACGGTGGGGGGGGGGGGGAGCCCGCGGGGCGCCCTCTTGCAAATGGCCTCCGCCGAGGTCGCAAGAAAGGAGGATCGTTCAGCTGGGTGGGAGGGAGGCCAGAGCATGTTTCTTTGGGGTGGGGGGGCTCGGGGGCCCCCGAAATGCCCCAGAAAGGTAGGTTCGTTCTCTGACTTGAGAAGGGAGGGACAGGTTACAGATTTTAATAAAAGAGTGGGAAGGGACCTTAGAGGTCATTTAGTCCAACCTCTGCCCAAGCAGGAGACCCCACCCCAGTTCAGATTTAGTGGCTGTCTTTAATGGGAGTCTAATCTTCAATGGGAGTCCATTTCCTGACCTGGCTTACTTTAACACATACAGATACAGATGAACAGAGTTGGAAGGGACCTTAGAGGTCATTTAGTCCAACCCCTGCCCAAGTAGGAGACCCTACCCCATTTCAGATTTGGTGGCTGTCTTTAATGGGAGTCTAATCTTCAATGGGAGTCTTGTTTCCTGACCTGGCCTACCTTACAGATGAACAGAGTTGGAAGGGACCTTAGAGGTCATTTAGTCCAACCCCTGCCCAAGTAGGAGACCCTACCCCATTTCAGATTTGGTGGCTGTCTTTAATGGGAGTCTAATCTTCAGTGGGAGTCTTCTTTCCTGACTGGCTTACTTTAACAGATACAGAGACAGATGAACAGAGTTGGAAGGGACCTTTAGAGGTCATTTAGTCCAACCCTGCCCAAGCAGGAGACCCTACCCCATTTCAGATTTGGTGGCTGTCTTTAATGGGAGTCTAATCTTCAATGGGAGTCTTGTTTCCTGAGCTGGCTTACTTTAACAGATACAGAGACAGATGAACAGAGTTGGAAGGGACCTTAGAGGTCATTTAGTCCAACCCCTGCCCAAGCAGGAGACCCTACCCCATTTCAGATTTGGTGGCTGTCTTTAATGGGAGTCTAATCTTCAATGGGAGTCCATTTCCTGACCTGGCTTACTTTAACACATACAGATACAGATGAACAGAGTTGGAAGGGATCTTTGGAGGTCATTTAGTCCAACCCCTGCCCAAGTAGGAGACCCTACCCCATTTCAGATTTGGTGGCTGTCTTTAATGGGAGTCTAATCTTCAATGGGAGTCTTGTTTCCTGACCTGGCCTACCTTACAGATTAACAGAGTTGGAAGGGACCTTTAGAGGTCATCTAGTCCAACCCCAGCCAAGCAGGAGACCCTACACCAGAGGTCTTCAAACTTGGCAGCTTTAAGACTTGTGGACTTCCACTCCCAGAATTGAAGCCTTGCTGGAAGGAGGAGGAGGAGGGAGGAGAGAAGTGGAGGAGGAAGGAGGACGAAGAAGAGGAGGGGGAGGGAAGAAGAGGAGGAAGAAATGAGGACCCAGATTGTTGGCAATAGGCTATTTAGTATACTGTCTTTGTTGTAAGCCGCTCAGAGTCCTCGGAGAGTGGGCGGCATAGAAATATGAATAAAATAAATAAATAAATAAATAAATAAATAAATAAATAAGAAGAGGGAGGAGGAAGAAGAGGAGGAGAATGGGGTCCTTGGATGCTCTCTGAGCTTGATAGTTTTGTGCATGCTGGCTGGGGAATTCTGGGAGTTGAAGTCCACAAAGCTGCCCAAGTTTGAAGACTTCTGCCCTACACCATTTCAGATAGGTGGCTGTCTTTAATGGGAGTGGCTCAGTGGCTAAGACGCTGAGCTTGTCGATCGAAAGGTCGGCAGTTCAGAGGTTCGAATCCCGAGGGCCGCGTAACGGAGTGAGCTCCCGTGACTTGTCCCAGCTTCTGCCAACCTAGCAGTTCGAAAGCAGGTAAAAAATGCAAGTAGAAAAATAGGGACCCCCTTTAGTGGGAAGGGAACAGCGTTCCGTGCGCCTTTGGCGTTGAGTCATGCCGGCCACATGACCACGGAGACGTCTTCGGACAGCGCTGGCTCTTCGGCTTTGAAACGGAGATGAGCACCGCCCCATAGAATCGGGAACGACTAGCACATATGTGCGAGGGGAACCTTTACCTTACTTTTATTCTTCAATGGGAGTCTGTTTCCTGACCTGACTTACTTTAACAGATACAGATAAACAGAGTTGGAAGGGACCTTGTAGGTCATCTAGTCCAACCCCTTGCCCAAGCAGGAGACCCTGCCTAAACCATTTCTGACAGATGGGTGTCCAGTCTCTTGAAAGCTTCCAGTCGATGAAGCTCCCACAACTTCCGAAGGCAACTTCTGTTCCATGGGTTGATTGTTCTCACTGCCAGAAAATTTCTCCTTATTTCCAGGTTGAATCTCTCCTTGTCTCTCCTCCTCTTCTTCCTCTTCCTCCTTTTCTTCTTCCTCCTCCCCTTCCTCTTCTTCCTCCTCCTTCCTCCTCCACTCCTCTCCTCCTCCTCCTCTCCTCCTCCTCCTCTTCCTCTTCCTCCCTCTCTTCTTCTTCCTCCTTCCTTTTCCTCCTCCTCCTCCTTTCTGACACTGATGATGTTACCTAGTTGGGTCATGAAACGTCTTCAAGAAAACAATCGAGCACAGAGACCACCAAGGGACCCCCCCCTCCCCGTTTCAACCCTGAGCTACAAATATCCTCCTTTATTGGGACTAATTTGACCTTTTTCATTTTACAGACGGGGCAGAACCTCCAAAGCAGAAACTTCCTGCCTTCTTGTCGTGTATCCCGTGGGGCAGAAGGAGCGAGGATTTTCACACAGACGCAAAATTAAATGAAGGTAACGAGGCCTACGAATTCGTGAGCGCTGCGAAAGCCTCCCCATGTTTCACCTGCATTCCCACCACGGACTTAACACGGATGCGGAATCAACCCATTTTCTGGAATCCCAATAGAGATAGTCCTTGACTTACAACAGTTTGTTTAGTGACTGTTCGAAGTTGCAGCAGCACTAAAAACAGTGACTCATGATCGTTTTTCACACTTAATGACCGTTGCGGCATCCTTATGGTCATGGGATCCCTTTTGCGGCCTTCTGACAAGCCAAGTGAACGGAAGCCAGATTCACTTAACAACCATCTTACTAACTGAACCACTGCAATGATTCACTTAACAGCCATCTTACTAACTGAACAATTGCAATGATTCACTTAACAACGGTGGCAAGAAAGGTGGTAAAACGGGACAAAACTCACTTAACAAATGTCTCGCTTAACAACAGAAATTTTGGGCTCAATTGTGGTCGTAAGTTGAGGTCTACCTGTGCAGTGAACTATAAACTAAGCAAATTAACTGAAATGAAGGGGGGGAAAACTGAAGAAAGTGAGCACTGGCAGATGAATTCACACAACCATAATTGGATTATTTGGTTTATTTATTTATTTTAAGATTTATAAAGCTGCCCAACTCAGATGCGTGGCGTGCAACATAAATACACAATCAAGATGTTTTTACACACACAAAAAAATACGGTAAATAAATAAAAAATAGAATAATAAACATACAAAAATAATAAAACACAAAACCTAAACCTTGATTCTGGCTTAAGGTAAGTTGTGATCTTAGCTATTTGATTCAGCGGGATACGGGCCACTAGGGTTCGTTCAAACAAGGGTTAAGCCATGGTTTAATGCACTGCTAACTGGAAAAATAGACCCGGTTGGTTTGAAGCTTAGTTAAAAAGCGTACTTTATCAGCAGAAATCTCATGTTTATTTTTATTTATTAATTAAATTTATACGGCTGCCCATCTTCTAAGTTTTTTCCGATGAATTCAGGAGGCCTTCTATGTCGACATTTTTGGTCCTTAGCCATTTTGTGTGGACTTCAACTCCCAGAATTCCCATGCTGGCTGGGGAATTCTGGGAGTTGAAGTCCACCCACCTTAAAACGGAGTAACACCGTTCTAGATAATGAATTGTATGTAAAACCGAGCATCCCTTTTTAATGCCTTATCCCTACCTTGTTGTTTTTTCCTCCAATGTAGATGCTGTACAAGACTTAGAAGGAGCCATGGCTTTGACCAACATCACACCCAACGGGAAGTGTGAAGAGGCCTCAGAGGCGTTGGACACCTAAGTGGTTTGTTGGTCTCTCTGATGGAAACCGAGGTTTGTTGTCTCTCTGATGGATTTCAAGTCCTTCTCATCCTATCTTTCCGGGAGTGAAAACATTCCAAATCTGGGACAGCCTTACAAGTTCCGTGAAGGAAGCAGCTAGAAGCTTGTCTGTTTTTTTTAATGATAGTTTGTTCCAGAGCCATTTGTGCAGAAGAGATGCTGGTTTGTCTCCTTTCAGCATCCTTGTTTCACGGGGAACCAAAGAAGCATTTTTTTCCTATTCTTAAGCACGTCAAGATGTGTGTTCATGAAAGCCACTGGACCTCTTGAGGCTCACAATTTAGAGAACCATCATTGCTTTCCAAAAGTTTGTGATGGAGACTGTTACAACAGAAACGGCAACACAATCATCATTCTTGCCACAGATTAGACTTGTCTCTTTCTTATTGAATTGGTCTCCTTCGTTTTGGAATCCCTGTCTGCAGGGTTAGAAATCTTGAAGCTCGGAAAGAAAAGAGAAACAATGGCTCGTGTTTTGAGAAAAAGTTCCACTTTATTCTGTTTCTGAATATGATTTCTGGTGGCAAAGAAATTATACTACATTGTTAATGAAGATACACATGCAGTTACTCAGTCTTGTGGCTACTCTGTGCCTTGCTATGTTTTGGAAACTTACAATAGAGATGTTTCTCAACCGTGGTCATTTTCAAATGTATGAGCTTCCATTCCCAGAATTCCCCAGCCAGCCTTTCAAAAGTCTACACATTTGAAAGTGTCCAGGATTAAGTTTAGGTTGAGCAACACTGTATTACAGGCATAGTTAAAACTTGCAATATTTTTTTTTTCATCAAAATAAACGGTTATGCATTTCGCGAATGAAGGCAAAGGTTATGGTTATGCATTTTTACAGACATGTTTTTTCAACAAAATAAATGTTTATTCATTTGTCACTCTCCTAGAGAAAGCTTTCCCAAATGCTGTATTTTGTAGCTTGAATCTTTAATTTTATGATTCTTTGTTTTTTTAATAAAAAAAAATCTTGATGAGATTGTAAGGGCCTAACCTCCCATATCTTCTAGTATAGCCTGTGGCAGAAAGTTTCGGGATGAGGTGGGGTGTTTTTGGTTTGTCTATATCGTTTGTGACTCTTTGCTCATGGGTTCAAAGCAGGTTTATTTAAAAGCAATATATAGATAGTGAGGGAGACAGAGAGAAAGACATACAGAGAGACAGAGACAGAAAACTAGAGAAAAAAAGAAGAGAGAAAGAAGGGGAGGGAAGGGAAGGGAAGGAAGGAAGAAAAAAGAGATAAAGAAGAAAGAAAGAAAAAAGGAAGGAAAGAAAGGAGAGAAAGGAGAGAAAGGAAGAAAGAAAAGAGAGAGAGAAAGAAAAAGAGAAAGAAAAAAGAAAAAGCATGCAGGTCCCTGACTTGTCATATATTTAACCTGACTCAGGATAGTAAGATTGTAACCTAGTTTATTTGAGAAACCCCAGTATGGGGAAAAAATGTTTTTTAAGTATAGTCACATAGTGTGGAAAAACAATTGAGAATTCAGTTCATTTCATAATTTTAATGGTTTCAAGTATCCCACGTATTGCTTCTTGAAGATACGGGGGCAAAGTTTTAAAATGCTTATAACTTATTTACTAACGATGAAGTTAACCATTGTTTACTTAATCCAGTTTGCACAGATGGACTTGCCTAAGAAGCAAGCCAAAAAGGTGGTTTCGATTTTTGAGGTTGTGCAAATCCAGCTACAGGAATTACAGGAAGATAAGGACAAACAGAAGTTACCCCATAATTCTTTTACCAATTTAAATCGGTTTTCAGGCAGATTATAGCAGATATATACTTCGGCAATGGGATTTTTTTAAACTCAAGCTGGTTCCCAATAGCTTTTGCAAATGTTTGACTAGGTTCACCTACCAAGTTTAAATTAGTTTATAAATAAACTGCGGGGAAGTTGTAGAGCTTTTGAAACGTACAAATCAAAAGATAAACCTACGGATCAACAGGCTTCCATATTTCATCGCAAACCTTAAAGTGGGATGTTTGAATTTGGCTTGTCACGATTCGTAAACAGCAATAACCCCTTTCTCTTCAGAGGACTTTGTGCCTTTAGTTGGAATTTTTTTTTAGTGCATTTTAATGCTGTGCCTTTTGAATATCTGTGGAATAAGCCGCCATTCATGGCATAGGTGCCTTGCCTTGTGCAATGACTGTTTAGAGCTAATCCTCTTTCAAAGAAAGCCTAAAGAACAGATGTGAATTATTTAGAGAAATATAGAATTCTTTATTGGCCAAGTGTGATTAGATACACGAGGAATTTGTTTCCGGTGCGTAAGCTCTCAGTGTACATACAACAATAGTGATAAGCAACAAAGTTATAGTCATAAGAAGAGAGGTAAATTCTGGCAGTTATAGATGTTGTATTGGTTTTCAATTAAGCAATTTGTCCTTGCTTGTAAGATGGAACTGCATGGCTAATGAGTTATCCCACAAGCCTATATAAAGGCCATTAAAATTGGTTGCAAGGCCTTGTAGCCATTTTGCCTTCCTCATTCCTATCTAGGAACAGGATCTGTTGTCATCGAGAATCTGACAAGGAGGCAAAATACAGGTAGTCCTTGACTTTCAACCACTCATTTAGTGACGTTCGAAGCTACAACGGCATTGTAAAAAGTGACTTACAATCAGTTTTCACACTGACATCCGTTGCAACATCCCCATGATCAAAATTCGGATGTTTGGCAACTAGTTTGTATTTATGACGGTTGCAACGTCCTTGGATTCATTCTGTGAACTTCTGACAAGCAAAGTCAACGGGGGAAACCAGATTCACTTAACAACCCTGTTACTAATCGAATAACTGCAGTGATTCACTTAACAACTGCAGGAAGAAGTGTTTACGAAAGGGGGCAAAATTCACTTACAACTCTTCTCATTCAGCAATGGAAATTTTGGGCTCCATTCTGGTCTTAAGTCAAGGGCTATAACTGCGCGCTTATTCTGAATTGCTGCAAATTGTGACTTCATTGAGAAACTTTGTACCCTGGAGACTGAGTTTGGCAGACTTCTGGGATTTTGTTAGCAAGCTCCCTTATCTCGCAGGAAATGGAGCCTATGTTAAATGACAACTGTAAACAAAAGAGATTTTCCTGCGCTCCTGAGAGTGTTTGCAAGGAAACAACGGAGAATTTTAAGGGACTGGCTTCTCTCTGCGGTATTTGACTTGCTTGCAAACTATCACCAGGTTGCCTAATCTGACGATGCACTGTACATATACGATGAACAAACCTGTATCTTTGTAAATAAAACAGATTACAACATAAAGAGATTGCAAAATACTAATCGGCCTCCAGTGATTTTCTTCTAGGAAAACAAACCAACCTGGAAAACAGATTGCAAAACTGGACCTTTTCACCAGTTGGAGAAACAGGTTGTGTGCAACCAAGATTCGAATTCAGAATTGAGCTGGAAGTGACCTTGGAGGTCTAGTCCAGCCCCCTCTCAACCAGGAGACCCTATAAATTTGAAACAAGTGGCTGTCTGTTAAAAATCTCCAGTGTTGGAGCAACCACAATTTCTGGTGGCAAGCTTTTCCACTGGTTAATTGTTCTCAATGTCAGGAAATTTCTCCTTAATTCCGGTTGCTTCTGTCCTTGATTAGTTTCCACCTGTTGCTTCTTTTCCTGCCTTCAGGTGCTTTGGGGAATAGTTTGATTCCCTCTTCTTTGTTGCAGCCCCCCAAATACTGTAATATTGCTATCATGTCACCCCAAGCCCTTCTTTATTTTTTTTTATTTTTTATTAATAAAAGATATACAAACAAACATAAATACATTAAGACAACATACAAAACAATCAAACATCAATTCAGTCTTATGACTGACTTAAAGTTACCACATCCGTAGGTTATTTTTCTATTTTCTTATCTTTCTCTATTCGTATCTATATATCTATATTTACATATTTACATATTTGTATATAGAACATTATAGTTCATTCTTTAATTCTATACATTTCCTATTAAATAGTCAAAAATTATTTTTTATATTCCTATTTTTCCCTCCAGCCAGCTGTACCATCTTTGCCACACTAAATAGTAATCAGTATCGTCTTTCTCTTGTAATTCCTTTGTAAGCCTATCCATTTCTGTGCATTCTGTAATTTTTGCAATTATTTTATCTTCTGTCGGTAACTGCTCAGATTTCCAATTTTGGGCAAAGAGTATGCATGCTGCTGTAAGGATATGAATAATCAGATATTTTATTTCTTTGGTATATTGTGCTGTGATTATTCCCAATAGAAAAATTTTCAGTCTCATTTCCAACTTTTGTTTTGTAATTTCTTCAATCATTTTCTTAATTTCTTGCCAATATTGTTTTGCCTTTCGGCATGACCACCAGAGATGATAGTATGTCCAAGCCCTTTTTTCTCGACTGACCATACCCAAAACCTCGAACCGTTCTTCATATGTCACACATCAGATCATGCAACACAATGGCTGCTTTAATTGTGTCGCAGCCTCAAGGACTTGGTTAACTATGGTGAACAACTCTTGACTTCTGCTCCAGAAAGGGCATCCTGGGAATTGAAATCCATCCATGCTGGCTCGGGAATTCTGGGATCTGAAGTCGATATGCCTTTAAAAAAAAATCCAATTTTTTTTTTATTACTTCATCTTCCAAAAGTATTTTCTCTCGTTTCCAATTTTGAGCATAAACAATTCTTGCAGCTGTTATTACATGTATAATCAAATAAATATATTCCTTTTTAATTTTATCCAGTAGGATGCCCAATAGGAACAACTCTGGTTTAAATTCAATAGATTGTGCAGAAATGAATCGATTAACCTTGTTGATTAAAGATAGGGAAGAATCAGAATATTTTAGAACGTGGAATTATTTTTTATTGTTGGTTGGAAAAGAGATATAAATGATTTAATTTTGTAACTATGTATGAAAATTTGATAGTAAGAATACGACCACAGGAATGAACTTTTACAGCGGATTGGATGACGATTAAGATAGAAGAAACTGTTGGAACAAGAAGAACAAAAAGAAAAGTAGAATCTAGTAGAATAAAAGTGGGCATATAAATAGAACCAATAAATCAATCAATCAATAAATAAAAGTCAACATCAAGATGTCATAGGAGAGGGATGATTGATGTTTTAAATTTTTATTTTTTTAAATATATATATATATAAACAAAATTCTTTTTTAAAAAAATCCCAAATTGGGAAACTCTGATTTATACTGTCTTCTCTGAAGTCCCAAAGCAAATGAATTCAGGCCCAGGTTAACCCAGTAAGCCCAGTTTGCAAAACACTGGAAATGGGCTATGTATGACGTCATGAAAGCAGAAATTCGCCTCCCAGCCATTTTGGGAGCGCCTCCTGTGCGATTATCAGCCTCAAGGCAGGCAGGCATCCAACAGGTATAGCTTGAATGACGTTTTTTATCACCCTCGGCGTCGCCGTCTCGTGAACCACCCCTTCGCCTCCTCTTCTATTAGCCTGCTTGGCTTTTTCCCCATCTTTTCCCTCCTCTCCAGCTTTCAAAAGCCAGCAAGTTCTCCAAGCAGGCGTTCGCGATGGCCACCTTAAACCCTAACCGTTTTTTTTCCCCGGCCAGGCCCGCCGGTTGCTAAGCGACCGCGCCCTGAGAGAAGGAAGGACCGGTCGCCGTCGCGGGTTGCCAAAGCGTCACTTCCGGCGTTGCACCGGAAGCGGCGAATGCGCTTGGTCACGGAGTTTGGAAGCGGCGCTGTTTGAGGGAAGCTCCGTCCTCGTTTCGCTCTTTCTCCGCTCCGGGAGCGCTGAACCGGCCCGGGATCGCCACGCCGCGGCGCCATGATCACCTCAGCCGGTAAGGGAGGCCGCGGCCCGGCCTGGTGGGAAGGCCCGGATCGTTTCCGCTGAGTCAGGCAGGGCTTTTCTGGGGGAGGGCGGCCCGGTTGTTGTAGCAGCAGCCGCCGCTCCCTTCGTTGCTCTCCCGCTCCGTCGCTCCCGCGGTGGCTTCCACAGCAGCGGCCTCCAACCTCGGCCCCTTTTAAGACGGGGGGGCTTCCGCTCAACTTCAAGTGCTGGAAGGGGGAGGGGTTGACGGAGGGGAGGGGGAGGAAGAGGAGGAGGAGAAAGAAAGGAATAAGGATGAAGAGAAAGGAGGAAGAGGAGGAGGAGGAAGGCTGTGGGGTTCTTGGTGCTCTCTGAGTTTGGTGATTCTCTTGCAGACGTTTCATGACCCAACTAGGTAACATCATCAGTGCTAGAAGGGGAGGGGTTGATGGAGAGGAGGAGGAGGAAGAGGAGGAGAAGAAAGAAGGCAATAGGATGAAGAGAAAGGAGGAGGAGGAGGAGGAAGGTGTGGGTCCTTGGTGCTCTCTGAACTTGGTTTGTTTTCATGCAGACGTTTCATGACCCAACTAGGTAACATCATCAGTGCTACAAGGGGGAGGGGTTGATGGAGAGGAGGAGGAGGAAGAGGAGGAGAAAAAAGAAGGCAATAGGATGAAGAGAAAGGAGGAAGAGGAGGAGGAAGTCTGTGGGGTCCTTGGTGCTCTCTGAACTTGGTTTGCTTTCATGCAGACGTTTCATGACCCAACTAGGTAACATCATCAGTGCTTGAAGGGAAGGGTTTGTGGAGATGTGGAAAGGAGAGGAGGAGGATTGTGGGGTCCTGGGTGCTCTCTGAGCTTGGTGGTTTCTTTGCAGGCATTTCAGACCCAATGAAAATATCATCAGTGCAAGAAGGGAGAAGGGTTTGTGGAGCAGAGGAGGACTGTGGGGTCCTTGGTGCTCGATGAGTTTGGTTGTTTTCTTGCAGACGTTTCATGACTCAACTAGGTAACATCATCAGTGCTAGAAGGAAGGGGTTTGTGGAGAGGAGGAGGGAAGAGGAGGAGAAGAAAGAAGGCAATAGGATGAAGAGAAAAGAGGAGGAGGAGGAAGGCTGTGGGGCTCTTGGTGCTCTCTGAGTTGGTGGTATTCTTGCAGACGTTTCATGACCCAACTAGGTAACATCATCAGTGCTAGAAGGGAGTGGGGTTTGTGGAGAAGTGGAAGAGGAGGAAAAGGACTGAGCGGTCCTTCATGCTCTCTGAGTTGGTGGTATTCTTGCAGACGTTTCATGACCAACTAGGTAACATCATCAGTGCTACAAGCGAGTGGGGTTTGTGGAGAGAGGAGGAGGAAGAGGAAGAGAAGAAAGAAGCGATAGAATGAAGAGAAAGGAGGAGGAGGAAAAGGAGGAGGAAGGCTGTGGAATCCTTGATGCTCTCTGAGATTGCTTGTTTTCATGCAGACGTTTCATGACCCAACTAGATAACATCATCAGTGCTAGAAGGGAGTGGGGTTTATGGAGGGAGGAGAGGAAGAGGAGGAGAAGAAAGAAGGCAATAGAATGAAGAGAAAGGAGGAGGAGGAAGGCTGTGGGGTTCTTGGTGCTCTCTGAGCTTGGTTGTTTTCTTGCAGACGTTTCATGACCCAACTAGGTAACATCATCAGTGCTAGAAGGGAGTGGTGTAGGTCAATAGGTCAAGGTTTGTGGTGCCTGCTAGGAACAGCACATTGCCTTGGCTCATGCTCTGTGAATCTTGCCTATGACTTCATTGTTGGCTCAGATATTGATTATCTCATTTCACCTTCAGAGGATGGCATCTTGAGGGGGGGGGGTGAATAATTTATCCAATTAGAACCCTGTTGCTGTCCTACCTTTTATCTGCCTGCGTAAAACTGTATAAAAATAAAAGCTCTTGGGGAAGCAGGAGAGACATCTTGAGAGACATCTTGGAACAGAGCAAAAGCCTGGACCTCTGATTTACAACAGAGTGGGGTTTGTGGAGAGGAGGAGGAGGAGGAGGACTGTGGGGTCCTTGGTGCTCTCTGAGTTTGGTTGTTTTCATGCAGATGTTTCATTGCCAACCTAGGTAACATCATCACTGCTAGAAGGGAAAGGGGTATGCAGAGAAGAGGAGGAGGAGGAGGAGGACTGTGGGGGTCCTTGGTGCTCTCTGAGCTTGGTAATTTTCTTGAAGATGTTTCATTACCCAACTAGGTAACATCAGTGCTACAAGCGAGTGGGGTTTGTGGAGAGGAGGGGGAGGAAGAGGAGGAGAAGAAAGAAGGCGATAGAATGAAAAGAAAGGAGGAGGAAGGCTGTGGGGTCCTTGATGCTCTCTGAGTTTGGTGGTTTTCTTGCAGACGTTTCATGACCCAACTAGGTAACATCATCAGTGCTACAAGGGGAGTGGGGTTTGCGCTCTGTTTATATAGACGTGGCTTACCCTGTCAGGGATGATGGGAGTGTTCTCGGTAGTTCCTTGATCAGGCTATTAGATTATTTGTGTGAGTTGGGTGTTCCTTGATTGGAGTATTGTTTGCTGCTTGATGGTTGATCTGGTATTAATTCTGCTTATCCCTGGTATCCCTGTCAAGTTTCTGAAAGATGCCCTAATTAATTCATGAGCCATGATCCAAACTTCAAAGGAAATATAGTCATTTATTAGGAGCACCATTCTGGCAATACTGGGATGCAGTTAGGACTAATCCTACGTAGATTTACGTTCCCCTTTGACCCTGTCTCTCCCCTCCTCTCTGGCCATGTCATAAATCACATTCTCCAATTAACCACTTAGGCTGGCTGTGAAACCTAACACCCTCCTTCTGATTGCGGTCAGGAAGAATGTATGGAATGCACTTCAGTTTTCCCTCCCTCCTGCTCATGGCAACTTGAAAGCTTTGCAAGTTGACACCTGTTGTTAATCCCTGCTTATCTATTTGTTGATTGCTGGTAAGGAGGCATGTTGGTCTTTTTATTTCCTTTTTCGCTTTTGATCGTCTGTTTTGAATGGTGATGATGCTTATCTCTAGATGCCTGTTAATGGTTGATTTGTTTGAATGCCAAACTTCTAGGAATTCCCTAGCATTTTTTTGGATTTAACTTGATCTAATAAGATGCTCAGTTTCCCAGTGGAAACTATGGCTAAATCCATCCATGTAGTAAAGAGTTTTCATCGTGTCTTACTAGCTGCTGCTGAGGTTAATGCAATAAACTGAGCCATAGTGAACTATATTGTGTGAATGCAGCTCCTGATCTGGTAGAATATTAATCTTAGCAGGTATGGCTAGGATATATTGTTTCCTCTGTTTACCCAGCCAGGTCTCTTCTTTTCAGAGCATTGGAGTCCAGAATATCCAGACCAGCGTTTCTCGCTCTTGCACCATTTGGATATATTGGATTTCAAATTCCGTAATCTTTAATTTGCATAAGATGAAAATAAAAGTTTTTAAAAGGTCTAAAGGGGTCCAGAGTGGTGAAACCTGGCACAGCCTCACAGCTCTTTAAATATATACTGTGTTTCCCCCAAAATAAGACCCTGTCTTATATATTTTTTTGCCACGAAAAAAGGCACCAGGTCTTATTGTCGGGGAGGAGGCTGTCTTACGCTGACTTGCCTTACTTGCGTGTGTCGCTCCCTGCCTCCTTTTCGCTGTCAGAGGCCTCCAGGAACAACTTCTGAGGCTGGCAGGGCTTTCCTGAAAGCCTCTGCAGCCAATAACAGAGCTCCGGATCGATCCGGAGCTCTGTTATTGGCTGCAGAGGCCTTCAGGAAAGCCTTGCCGGCCACAGAAAAAATGGACCAGCAAGGAAGTGGTTGGGGTGTGTGCGAGGTCTGTCTGCAACAGTCTGAAGGTAAGTAGTAGGGCAGCTCCACCCCCCTATCCCCACCCTATCTTAATTTTTACCCATTTACCCTGGAGTGGTGTGTGTGTGTGTCTTAATTAGGGCTTATTTTGGGGAGTAGGGCTTATTTTGGGTGCATGTATAAAAAATCAAGCTAGAATTTAGATCATATTTTGCGGGAAACACAGATTATGTATGTATGTATGTATTTATTGGTTCGATTTATATGCCGCCCTTCTCCGGAGACTCAGGGCAGCTTACAATGCGTTAAGCAATAGCCTTCATACTCTTTGTATATACCTGCTTAGTAGGGCTTTCAGGGTCCCCCTAAGCGGTGTTCTTTTTTATACAAAGTCAGCTTATTGCCCCCACAATCCGGGTCCTCATTTTACCTACCTCGGAAGGATGGAAGGCTGAATCAACCTTGAGCCTGGTGAGATTTGAACTCGCAGTAATTGTAGGCAGCTGGCAGCTAAGTGCTACTTAACAGCACTTTAGTCCACTGCACCACCAAGGCGCTCTCATATATATAGATATATATGGAAACTATATGGATGGAAACTAATCAAGGAGAGAAGCAACTTAGAACTAAGGAGAAATTTCCTGACAGTTAGAACAATTAATCAGTGGAACGACTTGCCTGCAGAAGTTGTGAATGCTCCAACACAGGAGGTTTTTAAGAAGAGACTGGACAGCCACTTCTCTGAAGTGGTGTAGGGTTTCCTGCCTAAGCAGTGGGTTGGGCTAGAAGATCTCCAAATTCCTTTGCAACTCCCTGTTCCAACTCAAGTTCCAACAGAACTTGAAATTAACTCTCTTCTGATATCATGTTCTGTTTTGGAGCCATTGATTTACCTGTTATTTGAAACTCAACAACTTGCTAGAATTTGCTTTCAGGTAAGCGTGCTTTTTTTTGTTGTCTAGGTCTTGTTCCTTTTAGCTTAGCTCGTGGTTAGAATGTTATTATGCTCTGAGTCAACCTTGATTTTTTTTTTCTTGGTGATATTTTTTTAGAAGTAGATTCCTATTGCATTCTTTCTAGGCAGTGGTGGGATTCAGCCAGTTCTCACCACTTCGGGAGAACCGGTCGTTAACTTTCTGAGCAGTTTGGCAAACTGGTTGTTGGAAGAAATCATTAGGGCAGAGAACCGGTTGTTAAATTACTTGAATCCCGCCATTGTTTCTAGGGCTGAGAGGGACAGACTGGCCCAAAACCATTCACCCTAGGCCAGGACTAGAACTCACAATCTCCTAGTGCTGTTAAAAAGTTGCACTAATTGTAAATACCAAAAAGTTCTCATATGTCAGATTGTAAATGCATTTGCAAATCACGTTTATTCCCTTTACTGTAGCAATTCTGAAAATAATCCTGTTTTATTTTAAAGTATAAATTCTATGTGGTGTTTAATATAACTTTTTTTTTTTTTTTTTTGCAGCTGGAATAATTTCCCTTCTGGATGAGGAAGAGCCAGAACTTAAGGTGGGCTTGTAGACTTTCTGTCTGACTTTAGAGTAAAAGCACATCGGGACCTGAATGCTGACATACAATGTTTTTAAAACTTAAGATTGTTTCGGGTATTATATTTTTACTAGCTCAAGAATTTGAGATTGCTGTCTTCAAGAGTGCACAAGTACAGTGTTTTCCCTGAAAATAAGACCCTGTCTTATATTTTTTTTGAACCTTGAAATAAGCGCTTGCCCTTATTGCCATGCACTCAAAAGCCCAATTGGGCTTATTATCAGGGGATAATGTCTTATTTTGGGAGGAACAGGGTAGTCCTCGACTTACGACCCTAATGGAGCCCAAAATTTGTGTTGCTCAGAGAGAAATTTGTTAAGGGACTTTTGCCCCATTTTGCAACTTTCCTTCCCATGGTTGCTAAGTGAATCACTGCAGTTGTTAACTTAGTAGCAAGGTTGTTAAGTGAATCTGGCTTCCCCATTGATTTGGCTTGTCAGAAGGTCCCAAAAGGGGATCACGTGACCCCGGGACACTGCAACCGTCATAAATATGAACCAGTTGCAGAGCGCCTGAATTTTGATCACGTGACCAGGGGGATGCTGCAACGGTCGTAAGTGTGAAAAACAGTCGTAACTCACTTTTTCCAGTGCCGTTGCAACTTCGAACATTCACTAAGCGAACTGTTGTACGTCGAGGACTACCTGTATTACTAAGAAATTTGGGAGTGATTATTTTTTTCATTCTCCACAAGGCTGCCTGTAATGAAATGCCGGAGTTGGTCTTGCTCTTTTGCCCTTCCAGCTCCTTGCTAGACATCTGGGTCGGTTGAAGTCTAAATTAAAGTCTACAAACGCAGTGGTTTTCGTTCTTTTCACAGGAATTTGCTCTCCACAAACTGAACGCGGTTGTCAACGATTTCTGGGCCGAGATCTCTGAATCGGTGGATAAAATGTAAGAGAAAAGACCTCAAATTCACTTGAAAACAAAGCTTCCTTAGAAATTAAACAGCACAAACTTAGTCCTGGCAAACCTCGTTGATTCATACATCTGTAAATTACTTTCATTTGCAGTCGGCAAGGCTTGATAAACTGTCTTTCAGAGGAAGGTTATCAACACCCACCTTATCTCCCGTGGAACACTGCCAAAGAGCTAATTTCCAGACGCAGGGCAAGGCTGAACGTGGCACAGAGTCACAAAAAGAATTTTCAAATCTTGAATCTAATTGCTTCCTGCAAAAGCTCCCATCCTGTTCGCTTCTCTTTTATGTCTTTTTCTTTTTTATTGAAAAGTTTTAAAATATTTTTACAAACATATTTCCTCCCCCCACCCATTCCCTTCTCCCCCCCCCCCCCCCCACTTCCCAGAGCAAAATACAGGGTATAGCATTTAACTATTGCTGTGCACATTGTAAGCCGCCCTGAGTCTTCGGAGAAGGGCGGCATATAAATCAAATTAAAAAAACAAAAAAAAAAACAAAAAACATAATCAAACATAAACAAATTAACTATAAGCTCTTCACTCCCCCTTACACTTTAACTCCCCCATACATACCAAAATATAAGAATATAAGAACTCACCTAAATATTTCATTCATAAGCTATTTGCAACTTTTTAGTCCCATATTTGTTTTGAATATAATCAATCCATCTTCTCCATTCCAATATGTATCTTTCATTCAAACAATCCTTCAAATATGCAGAGATTTTAGCCATCTCTGCCAAATTAGCTACTTTTAATGTCCATTCTTCAATAGTAGGTAAATCTTCCTTCTTCCAATACTGCGCCACCAAAAGTCTGGCTACAGTTATTAAGTTCAGAATCAAATTAGTCTCTATAACCGTACAGTCTGTAATTATACCCAATAAAAACAACTGTGGAGTAAATTTTATCTTTTTAAGAATATTTTGTATAATCCACCATATCTTAATCCAAAATGCCTTAATTTTTTTTACATGTCCACCATATATGATAATACGCTGCATCATCACATTTACATCTCCAACACGTAGGTTGTAAGCTTGGATACATACAAGCTAACTTCTTGGGATCTAAATGCCATCTATAAAACATTTTGTAAAAATTTTCTCTCAAGTTTTGGGCTTGGGTAAATTTTACATTTCTGACCCATATTTTTTCCCATGTTTCCATCATTATTGGTTCCTCGGCTTCTCTTTTATGTCTTATGGGAGGGGCCAATCATCTCCAAGCCTTACTCCCAAGTTGGCCCTGTTTCCTTAATTGTTCCTGACTTCTGGCAGCTCTGCGTATGCGCACACCGGGAACAGGCTCACACTGTTCTTCTGCCTCGCTGATGTCAGACTCTGGAGGCAGCACATAAGTACCAGATGGCCTTGGCCCCCTCTCTGCCTCCAACTCAGAGCCCTCATCCGAGCCTTCCCTAGACTCCAGGACCGGCCCACATTCTTCCCCAACCTCCTCACTGTCTGAATCTGCTGCCAGCTCTGCTGGCTGGCCACAACAAGCATGAGATGATTTCAATGCTAAAGGAAATGTTTAATGTTCACCATAGGGCTGTAGCAAACCAACTTTTTCTTCCTTGTTTCCCTCCCCCCTGCAGTGAAATTCTATATGAAGATGTTGGGTTTCGTAGTCGAGAATTTGCCGCCTTGGTGGCTTCCAAAGTGTTCTATCACTTAGGGGCTTTTGAAGAATCCCTGAATTATGCCCTGGGAGCTGGCAATCTTTTCAACGTCAATGACAATTCCGAATACGTAGAAACCATTATCGGTAAGTGTGTGTGCTGGAAAACGCTTTGTCCAGCTATGCAAATTCAACGGTCTTTGCAAAAATGTCACAAAATACCTAATACAGGTAATCTTCCACTTATGAGCAAAATTGAGCCCAACATTTCTCTTGCTAAACAAAGCAGTTGTTAACTGAGCTTTGCCCCATTTTCTTGCCACAGTTATTAAGCAGATCACTCCAATTGTTAAGTTAGTAACATGGTTGTGAAGTGAGTCTGGCTTCCCCGTTGATTTGGCTTGTCAGAAGGTCGCAAAAGGTGATCACATGACCCTGAGACTCCTACAACTGTCATAAAGTACATGCCAGTTTCCAAGCCTCTGAATTTTGATCCATGGGGATGCTGCAACAATGGTAAGTGTGAAAAATGATTTTAAGAGCCCGTTGCAATTTTGAACAGTCACTAAACAAACTTTTGTAAGGCTAGGACTTCTCTGTAGCTGTCCAGTTCCAAATTTTGGGAAAATATGAGATTTGCACCATTAGCTTGACCAAACTTGTAGGTTAAGCCTCAACCCAATGTCTTTTCTGAAAAAGAGAAAGATGTTTCAAGTGTTATTTTATATTAGAGGGTATTTAATGTGTTTTAAAGGGATGTGGCGGCTCAGTGGCTAAGATGCTGAGCTTGTGGATCAAAAGATCGGCAGTTCAGCGGTAAGAATCCCTAGGGCCATGTAACTGGGTGAGCTCCCGTTCCTTGTCCCAGCTTCTGCCAACCTAGCAGTTCTAAAGGACGTTAAAAAATGCAAGTAGGAAAATAGGGACCACCTTTGGTGGGAAGGGAACAGCGTTCCGTGCGCCTTTTGCATTGAGTCATGCCGGCCATATGACCACGGAGACTCCTTCGGACAACACTGGCTCTTTGGCTTTGAAACAGAGATGAGCACTGCCCCCTAGAGTCAGGAACGACCAGCACATATGTGCAAGGGGAACCTTTACCTTTAATATGTTTTAATGCCTTAAAATCCAGATGCCTGCTATGTCTTTAAATATTCCAAAGAATATTTCAATATGAAAAGCCAGCTTTGAGCAATAAGAAGTCAACCCTTATCTTGAGTATTGACAAGACATGTTGGAAAAAGCATCCCTTTTTATGCTATATAATTGATTTGGGTGTTGTTTTTAAAGCATGAAAGTTGAGATTGGCAGAAATTTGAGTTCTGGACCCAGTATTAGAGGCATATGTATTTTCTTACTTGTGTTAGTAGTTGAGAATCTGAATAATTTGCAGCAAATTCTAGTTGGATTGTATGATGCAACTAGAAGCATGTGGAAATCGATGGATTAATGGAGCATTTGAAAATTAATGGAGCAATGGATTAATGGGCTCTGTCCATAAATCTTTGCTTGTGTTTATAGATTCCCTTTCTTTTTCATTGATGGCAGAATTGCCTCAATAAAAATGAATATATTACCAAGAGTACTATATTTTATATCAAGTGATACCAATACACCCCGGAAGAGATTTCTTTAAGAACCTCAACAAAATAACAATGAACTACATATGGCAGGGAAAGAAGGCCAGAATTAAAATCAAAGCTCTACAGGATTCACGGGACAAAGGAGGCCTAGCAACACCAGATTGGGAACTCTACTATAAGGCATCGGGATTGACCTGGATTAAAGAATGGATGGAACTCGGCAACAAAAGAACCTTATATTTAGAAGGCTTTGACTTAATAAGAGGATGGCACGCTTTCTTATGGGACGGACCGGATAAAAGACACACGTACTTCCAATGTCATATAATTCGAGCTTCATTATTCAAGATCTGGCAGGATATTAAGAGAATTCACTATACCAAAATACCAAAATGGTGGTCCCCGATGGAAGCGTTGATATACCCAAACACGCTTGAAATAGGAAAAATGATGAGGTACCAAGACTTACTGAATCATGAAGGCGAACTCGTCTCAAGACAGCAACTCCAAAACTCCGGCATAAATATCGATTGGTGGCCCTATACTCAAATACACTCAAGATACATAGCAGACAAAAAGCAATATGGAATCTCGAATAATTTGAACGAATTGGATAAGATTTTACAAGGCCCACAACAAAAAATGATAACCAAATTATATAACTACTTACTTAGATATAAATTACTGGAAGAAACAGTAAAAGAAAATATGATAAGATGGGCCAAGGACATAGGGCACAACATCCAACTGGCAAACTGGGAGAAATTGTGGAAACAGAATATTAAAATGACAAGAGCCATACCCTACAAAGAAAACCTCATAAAAATGTTTTACAGATGGCACCTAACACCAGCCAGACTAGCCAAAATATATCCAAACACCTCCCCACGCTGTTGGAAGTGCAAAACAAAAAAAGGACATACTACCATGCCTGGTGGAAATGTACAAAGGCCCAACAATACTGGAAGGACACAAAGGAAATCATTGAAGAAATAATAAACCAACAAGTAGAAAAACACCCCAGAATTTTTTTTATTCGGAATGATAACAACACAATACAACAAAGAGACAAAGTACCTCATCATACACATTTTGACAGCAGCACGGTTACTGTTTGCACAAAATTGGAAATCAGATCAACTCCCAACCAAAGACAAACTAATCTCAAAGATAACAGAATGTGCCGAAATGGATAAACTGACACTAGAACTCCAAGATAAAGAAGAAAGTGAATTCTATCTTGTGTGGCACAAGTGGTATCAATGGCTGGAAAAGAAAATCAGTACAAATATAGATGAAAGATTATAGGGTAGGAAAATAAAACCGGAAACAGCTAAATAAAGAGGAGATGCAAGATTATTTCTAATCTAAAACATCTGAATTGACAATGTATTAAGTATATATTAATTTATAAAGCAATATATATTCTGATGATGACCAAAACATATATGTAAAATATAGTGTGGGTAGGTTGGTGGTGGGAATTCGTTTGTCTTTGTAATGTCTTTGTATTTTTTTTTTGTATTGTCTTTATATCTCTGTTTAAAACTCAATAAAAAAAAAATTAAAAAAAAAAAAAAAGAAAATTAATGGAGCAATGGATTAATGGGGCTCTGTCCATAAATCTTTGCTTGTGTTTATAGATTCCCTTTCTTTTTAGATCCCAATAAAAAAAAAATTCAGTCCTGTGTAGCGATTAATCACTGCATTGGAAATATAGGTAATCTTCGAGTTACGATTATGGTAATAAGCCGTGTTGGTTGCAAAGCAGTTCAGGCACATGACCAACCCAATTTTATAACCTCTTTTGTGATGGTGGTTAAGAGAACCCAGGACTTCCTACGGGGTGGTTTTTCCGAAAACTGGAAATAAATTTGGATTTTCTGCAATGCCATTGTAAAAGGCAGTCATACGACCACAGGTTATAGCAATAGCACTTAGACTTATAGAACGCTTCACAATGCTTCACTCTAAGCAGTTTACAGAGTCAGCCTCTTGCCTCCAACAATCTGGGTCCTCATTTTACCCACCTCGGAAGGATGGGAGGCTGAGTCAGCCTTGAGCCTGGTGAGATTCGAACTGCCAAATTGCAGGCAGCCGGCAGGCAGCCGAAGTAGCCTGCAATAATGCACTCTTAACCACTGTGCCACCATGGCTCATATAAATGTGTTCTGGGGGCCAAGCACCTGAAGTGTGATCACATGACTGCAGAGATAGATCCCCGACCATTGTAACTTCAAATCCAGGACATGTATCCCCCAGGTAAGGTCTGTCATAACTTCAAATGGTTGCTAAGCGGCCAGTCATAAGTCGAGAACTACCTGTATAAGTTTTTGTTTCGTTTTTTTTCTTTTAGAACAAAACTTTTCAGATTTGCCTCTAGAGAAGTGTTTCTCAACCTTGGTAGCTTGAAGATGGGTGGACTTCCACCCATCTTCAAGCTACCAAGGTTGAGAAACACTGCTCTAGATTAACAGGCATGTTTGTAATTGATAATAGGATCTATCAATAATTAGAAAAGTTTACAGCAGATATTTTCTTTTCTCAGCAAAATGCATCGACCACTACACCAAACAGTGTGTGGAAAATGCGGACTTGGCGGAAGGGGCCCAGAAAGCCGTGGACCCCCGCTTGGAAGGGATTGTGAACAAGATGTTTCAGCGCTGCTTAGACGATCACAAGTACAAGCAGGCCATCGGCATTGCCCTGGAGACCCGCAGGCTGGACATCTTTGAGAAAACCATTTTGGAATCGGTAGGTCAACGCGGGATTGTTGGGGAGAGGTGCCGTGTAGGATATCTGTATCGCTTTTGAATGCATTGCACACTTCGTTTGTTTAAGCAAATTATATGGTTGCCCGTCTCACAGCAGACAGCAGACAAAATAAACCACATTATAAATGCTCCAAACCAGTCTAGAGATTCTCCATCATTCAGGTCGTGGTTGTCCCAAAGGTGCTTTTTTTTTGCAACTGGACTTCATTTTTTCTTTGAAGACGTTTCACTTCTCATCCGAGAAGCTTCTTCAACTCTGACTGGATGGTGGGGAATATTTATACTCCTTGCAGACAGCTGGTCATTTGCATCCTTTTAGAGAATCCTTGAGGCCACTTGGAGATTTACCTGTGTCCTCAGGGTCACCTTAGTAGTGCAAATGGGTGTGGAGCCTTCTGGGAGCTGCTGAAAGGACTGTGTTGTAGACTGGAGATAGATGGTGCTGGATCCCTCCCCCACTGTTGAGAGAGGGCTGCTCAATTTTGACATAGATGGCCTCTTTCAAACCTTCCAAGTGGACTCAATGACTCTCTAAAAAGGATGCAAATGACCAGCTGTCTGCAAGGAGTATAAATCCTTCCCTTCCCCACCATCCAGTCAGAGCTGAAGAAGCTTCTTGGATGAGAAGCGAAACATCTTCAAAGAAAAAAAAAAACGAAGTCCAATTGCCTCTTGAAAAAACACCCTTGGGACAGTTCAGGCCAGTGTTTTTCAACCTTTAAAGACACATGGATTGCAGAGTTTCACTTTGGAAAGTTTCATTTCACCACACCTCAAAATATTCTCCATCCTGCATGTAGAATGTGCTCATGTGCTATGAGCCTTGGTGACATAGCAGACTAAAGCGCTGTTAAGTAGCACCAGCTGCCTGCAATTACTGCGAGTTCAAATCTCACCAGGCTCAAGGTTGACTCAGCCTTTCATCCTTCCGAGGTAGGTAAAATGAGGACCCGGATTGTGGGGGCAATAAGCTGACTTTGTATATTTTATTATTATTTATTATTAATTAAATTTATATACCGCCCTACTCCCGAAGGACTCAGGGCGGTGAACAGCCATAAAATTAAACATATAGATACAAAATTTAAAATAGAGATAAAACAAATTAAATAATTTGGCTGAACCATTTTAAAACCAAATTTAAAATTTCCATTTAAAAAGGGGAAAAAATTATAGTACAACATTTTTTATAGTATAAAAAGTATAAAAAAAGAACACCGCTTAGGGTGAGCCGAAAGCCCTACTAAGCAGGTATATACAAAAGTATGAAGGCTATTGCTTAACGCATTGTAAGCCGCCCTGAGTCTCCGGAGAAGGGCGGCATATAAATCGAATCAATCAATAAATAAATATAATAAATAAATAAATAAATTTGTGGATCCTGGTGTTTTCTGTGGGAAACTGGTCCAAATGGCTCTTTGAGTATTTAAGGTTGCAGACCTCTGATCTAAGCTGTCGAACTGAGGCAACTTTAAGACTTGTGGATTTCAGCTCCCAGTAGTCCACAGGTCTTATGGACCAACTCCCAGAATTCCCCAGCCAGCATGGCAGGCTAGGGAATTCCAGGAGTTGAAATCCACAGGTCTTCAAGTTGCCAAGGTTAATCTAATTGTTTCATTGGTAATTTTGCTATAGGAATTATTATTTAAAACCATGTTGGAGTGACTTTCTTGATTGGTCTTGACTCATTTCATCTTTTCTCATATTTCTCCAGGATGAAAGAGAAAAGTTCTAAGAAAAGGGATTGATAGGCTGTTGGAGAAAAATAATGTGACTTTTTTTGTGTGTTTGCTTTGGCAGAACGATGTTCCAGGAATGCTGGCCTACAGTTTAAAGCTTTGCATGTCTTTGATGCAAAATAAACAGTTCCGCAATCAAGTGTTGAGAGTTTTGGTGAAAATTTACATGAATCTGGAGAAGCCCGATTTCATCAACGTGTGCCAGGTGGGTTGTGTAGATGCTTGTGCAAAGGTGAGAGGGGTGGATGAGAGGGAGGTTGTTCAGATAATGTCATGGGTATAGTCCTTGATTGCAATTGAGCCCAAAATTTCCATTGCCAAGAAAAACAGGTGTTAAGTGAGTTTTGCCCCATTTTACAACTTTGCCCCATTTGTTAAGTGAATTGCTGCAGTTGTTAAATTAGGAACACGGTTGTGAATTGACTTTGCTCGTCAGAAGGTCGCAAAAGAGGATCTTATGACCACCCAGGATATTGCAACTATCATAAATATTAGTTAGTTGCCAAGTGTTTGGGGACGCTGCAATGGTCATAAGCATGAAAAATGGTCATAAGTCGCTTTTTTCAGGACTGTTGTAACTTCAAATGGTCACGAAGCGGTTATAAGTGGAAGACTTACCTGTAATAATACAACAAAAAACCTATTTGGGATGTTTATATTTGCAATATTCTCACCTTCTAAAAAGTTAGATTGAAAAGCAAAGCTGGCTGTGGAATTCTGGGAGTTGAAGTCCACAAGTCTTAAAGTTGCCAAGGTTGGAGACCCCTGATATAGATGATAGAGAGAGATAAGAGATAATAGATGGTTGTAGACAGACAGAGACAGACAAACAGACATAGATAGTCTATCATCGATCTATTTATTTATCATTGTATCTTTCTCCCTCCCTCTCTCTTTGACTTACAACAGTTCATTTAATAACCGTTCAAAGTTACAGTGGCATTGAAAAAAAGCGACATGACCCTTTCTCACACTTATGACCATTGCAGCATCTCCATGGTCATGTGATTAAAATTCAGACACTTGTCAACCGTTTCATATTTATGACGGTTGCAGACTCCTGGGGGTCACGCCATCCCCTTTTGGGACCTTCTGACAAGCCAAGTCCATGGGGGAAGCCAATTCACTTAACAACTGTGTGACTAACATAACCGTGGTGATTCACTTAACAACATTGGCAAGAAAGGTCATTCAACAGGGCAACATTCACTTAACCGACGTTTCACCGAACAACAGAAACGTTGGGACTCCATTGCAGTCGTAAGTCGAGGACTGCCTGTATCGCTTTTGGCTCCTTCCCTCTAAAGCATGGGTGGTGTCCAACCTTTTGGCTTGTCTGGGTCACATGGGAGTGAAGAGGAATTGGTCTGGGCTGCATGTGACCGCGGGGATGCTGAAAACGGTTGTAAATATGAAAACCAGTCATAAGTCACTTTTTTTCAGTGCCATCGTAACAGTAAGAGGTGCGGTGGCGCAGTGGTAAGAGTGCAGTACTGCAGGCTACTTCTACTGACTGCCGGCTGCCTGCAATTTGGCAGTTCAATTCTCACCAGGCTCCAGGTTGACTCAGCCTTCCGTCCTTCCGAAGTGGATAAAATGAGGACCCGGATTGTTGGGGACAAGAGGCTGACTCTGTAAACCATATTAGAGAGGGGCTGTAAACGCACTGTGAAGTATTTAAGCCTAAGTGCTAGTGCCCTTCCTTCCTTCCTTCCTTCCTTCCTTCCTTCCTTCCTTCCTTCCTTCCCTTTCCTTCCCTTTCCTTTCCTTTCCTTTCCTTTCCTTTCCTTTCTTCCTTCCTTCCCCTCCCTCCTTTTTTTTTGAAAATATTTTTTATTTTTATTTTTCATCAACATATTTAAATGTACAGTCTTTTATTCATCCTTATACATTGTTGGTTCATCTTATTCTTCAACTTCTATTAGCTAATCAATGAATTGTTCAGGTCTGCTCTTTTACCATTTCCTTCCTTTGTTTTACTACAACCTTTCCTTTTTCTCTTCCCTTCTTTCTCCTCTTTTCTTTCTACTTTCCTCATTCCTCCTCTCCTTTCCTTTTTTACTTCTTTTCCCCTCTCCTCTCTTCTTTCTCCCCTTCTTACTCTCTCCTACTCTTCTTTCCCCTTCCTTCTTCCTCTCCTTTTCCCATTCTTCTTTTCTTTTCTTCTCACCTCCCAACTCCCCTACTTTCCCCTCTCTACTCCTCCCCTCTTTTCCATTCCCTTCTTGTTTCCTTTTTTAATTCTGTGGTGGAACAGTGGTTAGAATGCAGTATTGCAGGCTGACTCTGCCCACAGTAAGAAGTTCGAACCTGACCTGCTCAAGGTTGACTCAGCCTTCCGTCTTTCTGAGGTCGATAAAATGAGGAACCAGATTGTTGGGGGGGGCAAGAGGCTGACTCTAAACCGCTTAGAGTAGGGCTGTGAAGCGGAATATAAGTGCTATTGCTCTCTGACGGTCACTAAATGAATGGTTGTAATTCGAAGACGACCTCTGAGGGGTAAGACGTCACTGCTGACGACTTCTGAAACTCGGTCTTTGGCCTCCCTCTTGCAGTGTCTCATTTTCTTGGATGACCCACAAGCCGTGAGCGACATCCTGGAGAAGTTAGTGAAGGAGGACAACCTCCTCATGGCTTACCAGATCTGTTTCGACTTGTACGAGAGCGCCAGCCAGCAGTTCCTCTCCTCGGTGATCCAGAACCTCCGCAGCGTTGGTACCCCCATCGCTTCCGTGCCCGGATCTACCAACACGGGGACGGTGCCCGTGCCCGAAAAAGAAGGGTGAGACATACATCCTTACATAACCCATCGTGCTGTACCCTTTCAGGTTGAGCAATATTGTGCAAACGGCAGGAAAAAGGGGTACAAGGTCTGTTCTGCCCCAGCTACGGACCCCAAAGAACGCAGCACACACAAAGTCTGTACAAACCTTAGTTTATTAAATAAACCAGTCTTTTACAACAGCGGCTGTTAATTAACTGCATTAACAGCCGCCAAGAATTCAAAGAATAATAACTGAAAGCTTACTATGGTTGGCAGAATGCCCAGAAGCAATTTGCAGGAAGCTGATAAGATAAGCAAGACAAGACACGAAGGTATGTGAACGAAGTTGTTCCCTGCAAATTGCTTCTGTCGGTGTTCCTCCTTAAATAGGCTAAGAGAGTGGCCCATTAGCCCCAAGCTTTACTCTCGAGGAGACCTCCTCCTGAGGAGCCACTCCTGCCTTTTGGCAGCTCTGTGCGCCCGTGCATCGAGAAGAGGCTCCTCCTCTTTGTCCTCTTCACTTAAGGGAGCTTCTGGAGGTTCTGAAGGCCCTGGATGAATCCCCGCCTCTGGCACCACATCTTCTCCAGCCTCCTCACTGTCCGACTCAAGTGCCAGCTGCACAGGCCGCGTACGGGCCACAACACAGGGTCACCTGTTTAATTGCAGCTGTGGAAGATGCAAATTAGCTTGTTAAGGGGTAGTCCTCGACTTACAATTGAGCCCAAAAAATTGATGTTGCTAAGTGAGACATTTCTTAAGGGGTTTTGCCCCATTTTACGACCCTTCTTGCTACGTTTGTTAAGCGAATCGTTGCAGTTGTTAAAATTAGTCACATGGTTGTTAAAGTGAATCTGGTTTCCTCGTTGACTTGCCTTGTCAGGACGTCGCAAAAGGGAGATCACATGACCACCACCCCCTTCCCGGGACCGTCATAAATGTGAATCAGTTGCCAAGCATCTGAATTTTTGATCACGTGATCACAGGGGATGCTGCAACGGTCACAAGTCTGAAAAATTGTCACTTTTTCGGTCCCGTTGTAAGTTTTGAATGGTCACTAAGTGAGCTGTTGTAAGTGGAGGACTATCTGTATTGTCTCTAAATCAACTTACTGGTCTTGTTTCCTGGGCTTTTTTTTTTCTTTCTTTCTTTCCACGTGCTACTTTGCTGACCGAGGTAATTATAATCAGCAAAATCTCTTGGTTTAATTTGTTTTGTTTTGTTTTTGCAAATAGTTTTTTTATCTTTATTTTTCTCAACACACAAATTACATCTTTTTGGAACAGCCCTGATCCGCTCATCAATTTATACATTTCCCCCCCCCCCCATCTTTAACAAGATTTTATATATTCTATTTTGCCATAACGCTTATTTCTTAATCTTAAATCACCTATCTCAACTAATACCATCTTTAAAACAAATTACTCAAATTTACATAATCAAAACATTTACCCTTCTATTAACCCCGCTTAAATCTTAATTCAATTAATACCTCATAGTACATTTCACAATTCTTACCCTAAATCCTCACTATTAACCATACCTAATCTTAAATCACCTATCTCCCCTATTACCATCTTATAAAAAGTTAACTCTTATTTATTTAATCAAAACAATTACCCTTCTATTAACCCACTTTCGATCTCAATTTAATTAATAACTCATAATACATTTAACAATTCTTAGCCTAAATCTCTTGGTTTAATATTTTAATATCCCATTGGGGAGCGCATGAGTTGCCTTTTTTTTAAGTTGCCATCAAGAGTGTTGATCTAAATCAGAGGCCTTCAAACATGGCCGCTTTAAGACTTGGGGACTTCAACTCCCAGAATTCTCCAGCCAACTATGCTCTATGTCAGAGGTCTTCAAACATGGCAGCCTTAAGACTTGTGGACTTCAACTCCCAGAATTCTCCAGCCGGCTATGCTCTATGTCAGAGGCCTTCAAACATGGCAGCTTTAAGACTTGTGGACTTCAACTCCCAGAATTCTCCAGCCAGCTATGCTCTATGTCAGAGGTTTTCAAACATGGCCGCCTTAAGACTTGTGGACTTCAACTCCCAGAATTCTCCAGCCAGCTAGGCTCTATGTCAGAGGCCTTCAAACATGGCGCCTTAAGACTTGTGGACTTCAACTCCCAGAATTCTCCAGCCAGCTAGGCTCTATGTCAGAGGCCTTCAAACATGGCAGCCTTAAGACTTGTGGACTTCAACTCCCAGAATTCTCCAGCCAGCTAGGCTCTATGTCAGAGGCCTTCAAACATGGCCGCTTTAAGACTTGTGGACTTCAACTCCCAGAATTCTCCAGCCAGCTATGCTCTATGTCAGAGGCCTTCAAACATGGCAGGCCTTAAGACTTGTGGACTTCAACTCCCAGAATTCTCCAGCCAGCTATGCTGGCTGGAGAATTCTGGGAGTTGAAGTCCACAAGTCTTAAAGCTGCCAAGTTTGGGGACTCCTGCCTTATACCATTTCAAACAAGTGATTGCCCAGTCTCTCCTTAAAAACCTCCACAACTTCTGGTGGCAAGCCGTTCCACTGATTAATTGTCCTCCCTGTCAGGAAGCTTCTCCTTCATTCCAGGTTGCTCCTCTCCTTAACAACCGTTGCAGCAGCCCCACAATCACGTGATTAATATTCAGACGCTTGGCCACCGACTCATATTTATGACGGTCGCAATGTCCCGGGGTCAGGTGATCCCCTTTTGCGACCTTCTGACGAGCAGAGTCAACAAGGAAGCCAGATTCACTGAACAACAGATTTCCTGACTTGACGGCAGTGATTCACATAACAACCCTGGGCCAGAGAGGTCGTAAAAGGGGGCAAAATTCATTGGGACAAATGACTCGCTGGGCAACAGAAATGTTGGGCTCAATTGTGGTCGTATGTCGAAGACTACCTGTAAGGTCAACAGCAGCTTCTACCTTCCCCGGGTGGAGTTTGTACATCCGACTTGAAGCAGGCTAACAGAACAGCCGCCGTGTTCGTTTAACGACTCTTCGACTCTAAGTTCGTTTCCAACTCTATTAATCTAAGGAGAACAGATTAATAGAGTTGGAAGGGACCTTGAAGGTCATCTAGTCCAACCCCCTACCCAAGCAGGAGACCCTCTGATTGAAGTTTGATATAAATGGCCTCTAGTAACAGAATAACAGAGTTGGAAGGGACCTAGGAGGTCATCTAGTCCAGCCCCCTTCTCAAGGCGAGTAGGATGGCTTGTTCCTTCAAAAGGAGAGGGGGGGGTGCTAATAAAAGATTTAGGCCTCTATTTTTTTTTTTTCGTCTCCTCAGGACAATCCGGGGAACAGCCAGAGTGCAAACGAGATTTTGTTTTTGTTTTTCAGAGAGTTGATGGAGACGGAAGAGAAGAAAGGCAGCCCCGTTGCTTCCGTGAAGTCAGCTCAGGCGGTAAGTGTCGTCGTATAAAATTTACTCCCAGCTTCCTCTTCGTGATCCCACACGGCCTGTTAAACTACAGACGTAAGGCCACAGTTGGGCCCAAAATTTCCACGGCCGAGCGAGCCAGTTGTTCAGTGAGTCTCACACCCAATTACAAGACCTTTGTTTTTTGTTTTTTCCCATGGTTGTTAAGTGAATCGCATGGTTATTAAACAAGACTGCCTCCCCCCCCAAACAATTTTGCTCGCCAAAAGCCGGCTAGGAAGGTCACAAAACGGCAGTCACGTTGCTCCCAAGATGCAGCAACCGTCGTAAGTACATGCCAGTTTCCAAGCATCTGAATTTTGATGAGTGTGGAGATACTGTGATGGTTTTAAGTGCGAGGACCGGTCAGAAATCACTTATTTTTGCAGTGCTGTTGCTAAGTGAATGGTCAGAAGTCGAGGATTGCCTGTATTGGGATCTGTTGAATGACCCTCCATTGGCTGAGTACAGACAACACTCCATAGCTGTAAAACTGTAGTTGGCAATCATAGTTCTCTGACTTTCTTTCATCCCAAGTTCATCCAGTAAGGTTGGGCTCCTTTACTCAGGGAATGTCATTTTCAGGAGATTCTTTGAACTCATTCTTCCCCCCCATCCCGCCCCACATCTGAACTTCAGGAAGGCCATCAAAATGTGCTCTCTTCAGCAAACCTTTGGGACAGACGGTGTCTTGAGATGTGGGGTCCTTGGTGCTGTTTGGGCTTGGTAGTTTTCTTGCAGACATCTCATTATTATTATTATTATTTTATTTGATTTATATGCTGCCCTTCTCCGGAGACTCAGGGCGGCTTACAGTGCGTTAAGCAATAGCCTTCATACTTTTGTATATTTTATACAAAGTCAGCTTATTGCCCCCACAAACTGGGTCCTCAATTTACCTACCTTAGAAAGGATGGAAGGCTGAGTCAACCTTGAGCCTGGTGAGATTCGATCTTACTTTAATTGCAGACAGCTGGTGTTAAATTATAGTGCTTCTGTCTGTTGAGCTAAACCAGTTACCAAACTATGTAACTGTTCTGGCCCATCAGCGGCCTGTGTGGATTGTAGCTGATTCTGACAGCGAGGAGGCTGGTGTGGTGGCGTGCCAGCAGCCTGTGCAGCTGGCGCTCGAGTTGGACAGTGAGGAGGCTGGAGAAGATGTGGTGCCAGAGGCGGGGATTCCGCCAGGGCCTTCAGAACCTCCAAAAGCTCCCATAAGTGAAGAGGAGGAGCCTCTTCTCGATGCACGGGTGCGCAGAGCTGCCAAAAGGCAGGAGTGGCTCCTCAGGAGGAGGTCTCCTCGAGAGTAAGTCTTGGGGCTAATTGGCCACTCCCTTAGCCTATTTAAGGAGGAACTCCAACAGAAGCAATTTGCAGGGAACAACTTTAGTTCACTCTCCGTGTCTGGATTCTCTGCAAATTGCTTCTGGGCTTTCTGCCAACCATAGTAAGATTGTGATTACTTTATCTTTGGTTTCTTGTAGGCTGTTAAGAAAGTTTATTAACAGCCTTTGTTTTGAAAAAGACTGAGTTATTTTAGTAAATTCAGTTTTGTACAGACTTTGTGTGTGCTGTGTTCTTTGAGGTCCGTAGCTGGGGCAGAACAGTAACATCAGTGCTGGAAGGGGAAGGAGGCTTGCAGAAAGGAGGAAGGTGAAGACTGTGGAGTCCTTGGTGCTCTCAGAGCTTGGTGCTTTTCTTGCAGACGTTCCATGACCCAACTAGCTAACATCATCAGTACTAGTACTAGTTTAGTAATGAACCTCTGCAGGAAAATAAACCAGCGTCAGAGAATGCCGAGGACCCCACAGTCCTCCTCCACTCCGCAAATTCCAGTCCCTTCCAGCACTGATGCTGTTGCCTAGTTGGGTAATAAAACTTCTGCAAGAAAACAAACCAAGCTCCAAGAGTACCAAGGACCCCCACAGTCCTCCCCCTTCTCTTCCTCCTCCTCTGCAGACCTCCCTCTCTTCTAATACTGATGATGTTACCTCGTTTGGTAATGAAATGTCTACAAGAAAGCAAACTAAGCTCAGAGAGCACCAAGAACCTCACAGTCCTCCTCCCCCTTCCTCCACCTCCTCTCTGCAAACCACTCTCCCTTTTTCACTGATGATGTTACCTCGTTTGGTAGTGAGACATCTTCAAGAAAACAACCAAGCACAGAGAACACCAATGACCCCCACAGCTCAACCCTGAGCTAAAATCCTCTTCTGCCATTGTCTTGAAGTGTTCCCTCTTGAGGTGTGGTGTTCTGTTTTCCGTTTGACTTCCTTAATTGTTCCTGGGACAGATTTGTGAGTTGGTTGTTAACCTTATAGAAAAGGATATGGATGTCGAAACGTAAATCAGCTTCGATACTCCCCTGGGGTAATTGCACTTAATTAGAGACAGATGGATCTTGTTTTCCATGCTGTATACTTTAAAGAAAGAAAACCCGAAATATATTCTAAGAAACATTTTATTATAAAGAAACAAAACAAACTTACTAACTACATCATTACCGGCAGTTTTATAACACAGATAGACAAAGGAAAAAGTAAGTCAGGAAGTTTTCTCCTCAAACTTGGACATGCACCGTAGCTCAGAAATCACAAGACAGTCTTATCTCTGTTGCTACAGAGACGTGATAAAGTTCTCTGGCAGGCTACAGTAAGTCTTAGGATGGAAGCTCGGCTGGCAAACACAGAACGCAGTGACAATGGAAGCCACTCTTGAGTCAATGAATACTGGAGGGACATGTTGTGGCTCCGTTACCTGAGCCTATGTCATCAGCAGGAGAGGACTCCGAGAGTGAAGGAGAGGAGTTGGCAAGGCCTCCCTCTCCAGGACCCTCCTCTCTGGCAGTGCCTTCGGTGTCCGCCGAAGGGCAAGAGATAGGGCCGGGGCCAAGCACGTCCACGCAGCCACAGGTGGACAGTGATGAGGGTAATGAGTCTTGGCTGGATCCACGCCAGTGTCGCAGAGATAAACGCGCGCAACAGAAGAAAAGGTGTGCCCGAGATTAAGCTGAGTCACTGGACCACACCCCACAGGGTATAAAAGGGAGCGTGGTGGCCACTCAAACCTTGTGACGAACAAAGCTGAAAGCTTCCACGCCATTCTGCATTGCCGGACTTTTTGCTATAGACTTTGCTGGATTATCTCTGGACTTGATTGACTCTGTAATTATTGAGCTGTTTCTTTTGATGTATCAGAAGCGGAGAGAAGTTATCTCTCCTCTTCGTAAGTAATAAACTCTTGGCAGGCAGCCACTAGGTTGTTGCCAAGTTCTGTTATCATAAGGAAAAGGATTTTGCTGGCTGGTTTGGTCTTTAACTCTTGAACGTCTGTTGGTGTGTGTGCGTGGGATTGGGGACAGAACAGGACATTGAAGCCCAGTGAATAAAGGAGATAAATAACTCTGTTTGTTCCCATATGTAGAGTCCCGGAACGAAAGACCAGATTCCAAAAATGATAAAGATTTTAAGTGGGGAAATGGCCATTGAATTGCACCTCCAGTTTTTAATACGAAACAACAACACGGACCTCATGATTCTTAAAAACACAAAGGTAAGGCCTCTTGTGTACGGGTGGGTGCATTTGTCCTCATTTTGGGACATGCCTGAAGGCTGAATAACAACACACTTTGAAAGATTTGCAAAAAGGTTGAAGATGCTGGCCCTGATGATGTTACCTAGTTTGGTAACGAGATGTCTGCCAGAAAACCACCACACTCAGAGAGCACCAAGGACCCCACAGTTTTGCTCCTCCTCCTCTCTGCAAACCCCTCTCACTTCTAGCATTGATGATACCTAGTTTGGTAATGAAACGTTTGCAAGAAAACCAAGCTCAGAGAGCGCCAAGGACCCCACAGTCCTCCCGCTCCTCTCTGCACACCCCACTCCCTTCTAGCACTGATGATGTTACCTAGTTTGGTAATGAAACACCTGCAAGAAAAACCAAGCTCAGAGTGCTGATCTTGATGCTCAGTATGTCTAAATTCATCCATTTTTTTTCTTAGAAAAATCATTCCCTATTTTTTTAATTGAATTGTCCCAGCAAAACATTTCAGCATAAAATAAGATGCTGTAAGATAATTGTAACAGACCATTTTTAGCCTGAATATTAACATCCTGAATTTACAGTTTTCAAAAATGTCTCTTCAATTCCCACGGTTTTCTCTTTTGAACTCCTTCATTTAGCTTTTCAAGATTCAAGGGAGACCCAACCCTGTTTTGTGAAGTTTCCGAAAGATGCCCTAATTAATTCATGAGCCATGAGCCAAACTTCAAAAGAAACACAGACATTTATTAGGAGCATCACTTCAGCAATATTCGGATGCAGTTAGAACTAATCCCACGTAGATTTACGTTCCCCTATGACCCTGTCTCTCCCTTCCTCCCTGGCCATGTCATAAATCACGTTCTCCAATTAACCACTTTGGCTGGCTGTGAAACCCAACACCCTCCTACTGATTGCGGTAAGAAAGCATCTGTGGAACGTAGTTTCAGTTAGGGAAATCCATCAGCTCCATCAGTTCTCCCTCCCTCCTGCTCATGGCAACTTGAAAGCTTTGCAAGTTGACACCTGTATTTACAAATGATATTTTGCCAGCTCTGTTGTGTCCTTTGTGTCTCTATGACTTTCTGCTCTCCTCTTTCTCCAGGATGCGGTGCGGAATTCTGTGTGTCACACCGCCACAGTTATCGCCAATTCCTTCATGCATTGTGGAACAACTAGCGACCAGTTCCTTAGGTAATGGCACATAGCGGGGCAGGATAAGGTGTGTTGGACCGATGGAGGCTGGCAGAGACTTTGCATGTGGAACAGGAACAGACTTGATAGAACTTCTGGGTGGTGCATGGGTCAGATCTGTCTCTGTACAGTCATATCTTGTCACTCGACTGCTTCAGAACGAATCAAATTGAGTATTTGACACGTTTTGAAGCAGAAATCTTGTCTCAGTGCTCGTCTTTCTCCCGGTAGTCGACGCGCAAGGAAGAACTTGCTGATATCAGCTGCTTCATGACTGCATTTTCATCATTGAGTAGTCCAGAGCCAAAAACTAGTGAAGCCAAAGAGATAAGCTGAGTGTCAGGGTTCCGACAAATGCCCTAATTAAATCGTGAGCCTCCAGACATACCCAAATGAAGCCAACTTTGACCCACGTTACGGCCCTAATCCGTTTCCCCCCTCCCCCCAGGGTGTGTCATCAATCACATTCGCCAACAGAGCAATTTGGTGGGTTGTAGAGATCACTCCCCTCCGCTGTAGGTAACCCTGGGAGACAGCCTTGAGAAAGATATGTCTGGAATGTACTCCTGTCTTTGGCTGCCATGTTGCTTCTTCGGTTTTCCCATCCCCCTGCCTATGGCAACTCGAGAGCAGGCCAAGGATGCTTTGCGAGTTTTACACTGAGATCCCTTTGGCCTCAGTTGCTAACATGTTGTTGTGATCTTAGCTTCCTGAGTCATTAAAACACACGAGTAGTCCCAAAAACCTCTTTTATTGCAACAGGTGTGAATTACGTTCATTCACAGCTGAGTCCCAATTAGTTGCAAAAAGTCCTTCGGGATAATCACCAACCTTTATCTTCCTTCACACGCTGCCAAAGACCTACTTGGCAAAGCCACACGGCGTCCAGAATCAAACAGAGATGCCGACTGGGAACAGAATTAACAACGTTGCTTTCCTGCACAGGGCCTACGTGCCTTTGCTCCTCTTTTAAGCCTTCTGGGACGGGCCAGTCATCCCTAGGCCTTAATCCCGAGCCGTCCCTTTTGCTTTAGCTGCTCTTGCCTTCTGGCAGCTTTGCACATGCGTGCACTAGGAACAGGCTCTGCCTCTCTGATGTCCGACTCTGGAGGCTCCGGAGTCCGCACATCACTCCCAGATGGCCCTGGCCCCACCTCTGCCTCCGACGCAGAGCCCTTGTCCGAGCCCTCCCCAGACTCCAGGACTGGCCCATGTTCCTCCCCAGCCTCCTCACTGTCTGACTCTGCTGCCAGCTCCGCAGGCTGCTGGCGGACCACAACACATCTAAGCACTGTTTGCCTCTTCTAAAGAACCCAGATTTAATTTTCCATTTCCTTCCCGCAGAGATAATTTGGAGTGGCTTGCGAGGGCTACTAACTGGGCCAAGTTTACTGCTACAGCCAGCCTTGGGGTCATTCATAAGGTAATAAAACCGAGTTTTTGTTCCACTGGATTTGATTTTCCCCCCCCCCAGCTTCTCTCAACCTCTCGGTGATCATGAATGATTGAAGTCCTTCCGATTGCAATTCTCAGCTAAATTTCAGACAAGGAGGAAGCAAGTATTGTGTTTGGGAGATCTTTCTCACATGATACGTAATTAGAGTACTGTACACTTTGGGTTCATTGCACATGCCTTTCCTAATTTGGGAACTTGATGTACATTTATCCTGGAAGAAAGAAAGAAAGTCCACATGTGAGTGCATTTATATCTTTTTCATTCTCCTGGGAGAATGAAGAAAAAAAAGTTTTTAATGTGCCAGTTGTGAGTGATAGGAGAAAATATACAGTTACAGGGTATAAGCAATTGCAGGTAGGTCTCAACAACAGAGCCAATTTTTAAGAATTATTTCATAAACTCAGAACAAAGCAACATTGCTGGCAAAGAGCCTTGGTAGCACAGTGGTCTAAAGCACCCTGTTATTAACACAGTTGCCTGCAATTACTGCAGGTTCGAATCTCGCCAGGCTCAAGGTTGACTCAGCCTCCCATCCTTTCTAAAGTAGGTAAATTGAGGACCCAGTTTGTAGGGGCAATAAGCTGACTTTGTATAAAATATACAAAAGGATGAAGGCTATTGCTTAACGCATTGTAAGCCGCCCTGAGTCTCCGGAGAAGGGCGGCATATAAATCAAATTAAATATATATATATATTGATAAGAGGTTTTTTTTTATCTTCTATTTTTCATTTCATTTCATTAGATTTATATACCGCCCTACTCCCGAAGGACTCAGGGCGGTGAACAGCCAGAAAGATAAAACACACAAACTACAAAATTTAAAAGACAATATAAAAACCCATTAAATAATTTGGCCCAAAACAATTTAAAACACCCCTAATGTTTTAAAAACCAATTTTAAAAGTTACAATTAAAAGGGAAGTTGGGCCAGGCCAGCCTGTTGAAATAAATAGGTCTTGAGGGCACGGTGGAAGGTGCGTAAATCCGGGAGCCTCCGTATCTCCGGGGGGGAGCTCATTTTAAGAAGTGCTTTTTGGCCCTACTCCTGCCTATCAGATACAGTAACTTTAATACATCCTTTTCCTCCCAAGAGTTCAGTTTAGTTAACAAAACAAAGCAACAGGCCTGAAAACTGTGTCCTGAAAATAATAATCCCAAGGGTGCTTTTTCAGGAGGCAGCTGGCCTTTCTTGTTTTTTCTTTTGAAGACGTTTCGCTTCTCATTCAAGAAGCTTCTTCAGCTCTAACAGGATAGTGAGGAACGGAAGGATTTATACTCCTTGCAGACAAAGCTGGTCATTTGCATCCTTTGAGAGGTTTATCTTTTAGCTATACTATTTGGGGTGAACCCCCTTTGAATGGTGTGGGAGCAGGAATGGATTTCCAGAGGAAAAAATTGCAGACTACGGGAACCAGCAGCACCACTCAGGTGACCCTGAGGACACAGACAAACCTCCAAGTGGCCCCAATGACCCTCTAAAAGGATGCAAATGACCAGCTGTCTGCAAGGAATATAAATCCTTCCATTCCCCACTATCAGGTCAGAGCTGAAGAAGCTTCTTGGATGAGAAGCGAAACGTCTTCAAAAGAAAAAGAAAAGTCCAGTTGCCTCCTGAAAAAGCACCTTTGGGACAACCATGACTCGGATGATTGAGAATCTCTACAGACTTGTAGAGACCACACACACACAAAGGTTGAGGATGTATGTGGGTAACTTTATTGTCTTACATAGTGACATTATATAGTTTGTTACTTTCAAGTTACAGTGTACTTGGCAGCATCTCATTGGCTACAGAATCTTCCAGGTAACTAGAGTCTTTGGTTAACCATTACTGCTTTGCTTAAGCACTTATAATGTTAGACTTTAATTAAAGTCTAATACACATATATCCCATTTCCTCTCCTGCTGTTCCTCTTGTTTACAGAATTAGGGTCTTATCTTCTAATGTAGTTTCCTGGCGCTTACGTGCAAGTAACCTTCCTTATCTGAGGTTTGCCATCCAAGATAGGAAAATCCCTGCACATATGCAGATTGCAGATTCCTACACAGACTTTTATTGAAAATAATGATTTCAAAAACCTGCAGGTCATTTATTTCATGGTTTAATGACTCCTTGGATTTGTAAAGCTGCTCAACTCAAAAAAATAAAAGAATGATTCTCTTAAAAGCCACATTCAGCAAAGTAGCCATTTATTGGCCAGGTGCCTGTCTAAAAAAGATTTTTTTAGAAAAATGCTTGAAGGAGAAAGAGATTGACCTTTCACCATCCTGTTCTGTTCTGGTGGCTTCCTAGGGTCACGAGAAGGAAGCTCTTCAGCTGATGGCAACGTACCTGCCCAAAGACACGTCGCCAGGGTCTGCCTATCAGGAAGGGGGCGGCCTCTACGCCTTGGGGCTCATCCACGCCAACCATGGAGGCGACATCATCGACTACCTGCTGAACCAGCTGAAGAATGCCAGCAATGACGTACGTGCCACCATACCTAATGCAGGTCAAGGAGGCCCTTAGGCCAGGCAGCCTTGCATTCCTTGGGCTGCTGAGACTTGGCCTAAAGCTCTCTTCCCTATCCTGGAAATTAAAGGTGGAAAATAGACCTCTTAACTCGCAAAATCATTCAGGAGATCTAATGAGGGCTCCTTGAGGCTCTCTGAGCTTGTTTGCTTTCTTGCAGATGTTTCATGACTGAACTAGGGAACATCATTAGTGCTAGAAAGGCGTGGGTTTTTCACTCATTTTATATTCTACCATGATGTCACCTAATTTGGGTCATGGAACTTCTGCAAGAAAACACCTTAAGACCCCATAGTTCTCCTCCTCCTCTTCACAAACCCCACTCCCTTCTAGCACTGATGATGTTACCTAGTTGGGTAATGAAACATCTGCAAGAAAACAAGCCCAGAGAGCATCAAGGACCCTGCAGTTGTCATCCTCCTCCCCATAGACACCACTTCCTTAAACCCCATTTCCTGTGTCTGATGAGGAGAACAGATCTTTCTCCTTCTGTCCTGGCCACTTTTTACAGAGGCCCAACTGAAGAGTGTTTTAACAAACTGCATCACAGTTTGGTGTGGCGGCTGCAGTGCCTCAGATAGAAAGGCCCTACAGAGAGTGGTGAGGACAGCGGAGAAGATTATAGGAAGCTCGCTTTCCCTTATTCAGGCTGCTGCTTGTAAGCACTATGTGCTTAGAGCTCGAAGTTTTATTAGAGACCCCACACACCCACTTTAGGCCTGTTTCTGTTGCTCCCCTCTGGGAGGAGGCTTCGAAGGATTTCTAGCAGGACTTCCAGATTCTGTAACAGCTTTGTTCCCGATGGTCAGTGGTGGGTTGCTCCCGGTTTGGACGGGTTCGCAAGAATCCGTAGTAAAGCCAGTGGGAGACTCCTCCCACTGACCCGGACGTCATCAGAAGTGATCTGCGCAGTAAAGGTTAGTAGAACCCACCCCTGCCGATGGTGTCCGCCTGGTAAACTCGCAAGATTTGTTTTTCTCTCCATGTACATGTATACATACGAACTAGACTATGTTGTTTCTCTGTCATGTATGTGTATGTGCATAATGGTTGATTAGTGTACATATAAAGTGACAATAAAGTTTATAGTTTTGTCCTATCCTATCCTATATCCTATCCCAGTGATGGCTAACCTTTTTGCCATCGCGTGCCAAGGGTGGGGGTGTTGCACGCGTGTGTGCCCACTCCCATAATTCTATGCGCCCTGCCCCCGCGCATGCACGCATGACAACCCTCCCCCCACGCTCATGGCACGGTATGGCCCGTTTTTTGCTCTCCCCAGCCTCCAGAGCCTTTCTAGGAGAGTGGGGAGGCCTTCCTAGACTCCTAGAAGGCTGGGGAGAGCAAAATACGGGCCTTCCAGTCTCACCAGAAGTTGGCAAACGGGCTGTTTCCGGCCTCTGGAGGGCCTCCAGGGGGTGGGGAAGGCCGTTTTTGCCCTCCCCAGACTCTGATGAAGCAGAATGCTTGACTTGCTACATGAATAGCATTTTGGCTAGCAAAAGCACAGGAACTTCCAAGGAACTTCAGAAAAATTGAACTGAAGCTACTATAACTGAATTTTATCTATGTGTGTGCATGCGCGTGTGTGTTTCTATCAATATTGAAATTTTATTATACTCAGTAAAACTGAATTATGTGTCACAGCTAACAACCTTGATTTCCCACCCCTTAAAATTAGTCTTAGGGAAAAAAAAATCTCCTTCATTATAAATACGTTGCTGCCATATATAATGGCTTTGTGATTGATAAGTCCCACAGCTATCTTAGCTGGCAGTCTTTTAAACACCAATCCTTCATCTGGGTTTGAAGAGCAATGGGGGCATCTCTCTCTTAGTTAGGCCATCCATTTTTACCTGCCAATACAGTTTGATGAGCTTGCTGGTATGCTGGTCTCTTCCTCCAGACAGCCAGTACGTGTAGTCAGCAATCATGGTGCTTCTAGTGACACAAGAGAATTAAAAAAAATGGAACATATATTAAAGGGTAAAGAAGAGAAACAAGAACATACAGATGTAATACTTATGACACAAAGGCCCACAGTACTCCGGAGACTCAGGGCGGCTTACAATGCGTTAAGCAATAGCCTTCATCCTTTTGTATATTTATACAAAGTCAGCTTATTGCCCCCACAAACTGGGTCCTCAATTTACCTACCTTAGAAAGGATGGAAGGCTGAGTCAACCTTGAGCCTGGCGAGATTCGAACTTACAGTAATTGCAGACAGCAGATGTTAATCACAATGCTTTTAGTCTGCTGAGCCACCAGGCCCCTGATTTTATGACGGTTGCAGCATCCTGGGGATCTGTAATCCCCTTGTACGACCTTCTGACGGGGCAGGGTCAATGGGGAAGCCGGATTCACTGAACAACCTCATGACTAACTTAAAAAGCAGCAGTGATTCACTTAACAACTGTCGCCAAAAAGGTCATAAAATGGGTAACACTGTCCAGCTTAGCAAGGGAAATTTTGGGGTCGTTGGTGGTCGTAAGTCGAAGACTAAGTGTATTGACTGTGTTGTGAACATTCTTGGACAGACTGTTGAATGAGGATAAGCAGGTTACTCGCTGAACAACTGCAGTGATTCACTTAACAACAGTGGCCGGCAAGGTCGTAAAATGGGGGTAAAACTCACTAAACGATTATTTCGTTTAGCAAAAAAAAGGGGGGGGCTCAAGTGTGGTCATAAGTAGAGGACTTGTATAAAAGCTCTTTCATAGGGAGGACTTTTAGCCAATTATAGGTAGTCCTCGACTTACAACAGTTCATCTAGTGACCGTTCGAAGTTATAACAGCATTGAAAAAAGCGACCTATGTCCATTTTTCACATTTACGACCATTGCAACATCTGCATGGTCACATCATCAGAATTCAGATGTTGGCAACTGATTCATACTTATGACGGTCTCGGTGTCCCCAGGGTCATGCGATCCCTTTTTTTGCGACCTTCTGATGAGCAAAGTCAATGGGGAAGCCAGATTCACTTAACAACCGTGTTCCTAACTTAACAGTTGCAGTGATTCACTTAACAGATATGGCAAGAAAGGTCGTAAAATGGGCAAAACTCACTTAACAAATGTGTCGGTTAGCAATAGAAATTTGGGGCTCAGTTATGGCCGTAAGTCGAGGACCCCCTGGGTTTGGTGAGCTTCATCAAGACTTCCCAGTTTAGCCGGCAGCATTTTTAAACTTGCTTTAACAAATCACTTACAACGCCCCTGCCTCGGAGACACAACAAACAAACACACTATCTAAAAACAGAACAAGGTGTTTTTTCTGCAGAACTCCTGATCAAGTGCTTGATTTAATAGATTTCTGGAATCGTGTGTGGGCCTCCGCCGAAATCTCTGTTTTACTGAGGCTCATTACGCCCTTTGGCCCAAAATCTGGAGAATTGCGCTAATGTTTTTTTCTGATGAATACATTTCACGAGTCGGTCTCGGCTTTTGCGAGCGGCAGTTTAGTTTAGTTTACTTTATTGTCATTGCACCTCACACAACGAAATTAAATGCCACCGTCGGTGTACATTATGACTATAAAAATAAAACCCAAAGACCCATTCTTCACATTCAATACAATTGAATTGAAAACCCCTGATATTGCATTAATATTAATAAGAGCCTGTAGTACAGTGGACTAAAGCACTGTTATTAACATCTGCTGCTTGCAATTACTGCAGGTTCAAATCTCACCAGGCTCAAGGTTGACTCAGCCTTCCATCCTTTCAAAGGTAGGTAAAATGAGGACCCAGATTGTGGGGGGCAATAAGCTGACTTTGTATAAAATATACAAAAGTATGAAGGCTATTGCTTAACGCACTGTAAGCCGCCCTGAGTCTCCGGAGAAGGGCAGCATATAAATTAAAGCAAAAAAAAAATTGCACTATACAGTAGAATTCAATATAGTTACTGCCCTGGGATAGAAGCTGTTTTTCAGCCTTGTTTTTATTGTCCTGTACCGGCTGCCAGATGGTAATAGTTCAAAAAAAAAAAAAGGGGTGCCCAGGATGAGATGGATCTTTAAGAATGTTTTGAACTTTCTTAAGGCAGCGGGAGCTATAAAGCTCTTCCAAGGAGGGGAAAGGGCAACCAGTGATCCTCTGGGCAATGTCATTAACCCTCTGGAGCGCTGCCCTATCTGCCACTCTGCAATTGGCAAACCGTACACAGGTGCAGGAAGTTAAAATACACTCTATGGTGCAGCGGTAGAAGGTCACCAGCAGTTTCTCATTCAGTTGTTGTTTCCTGAGAAGTCTCAGGGAGTAGAATCACTGCTGGGCCCTTTTGACCAGGGCTGCAATGTGAGCGCCCCAGATCAGGTCCTCTTTTTATGACAACACCCAGAAACTTCAAACTGACCACTTGCTCCACTCGGTCTCCATTGATAAGCAAGGGCTGGATGTCTGACCTATTCCTTCTATAGTCCACTATAAGCTCCTTGGTCTAATATGGTGTCAAGGATCAAATGATTGTCTCCACACCACGAAAGCCACCGGTCTACCTCATCTCGATAGGCAGACTCATCCCTCCCAGAGATGAATTCCCCCCACTGTTGTATCATCTGCAAATTTAGTAATAGTATTACTAGCGTGAGTGGGAATGCAATCATGCACATAAAGAGTATTGAGTAAGGGACTCAACACACAACCCTGTGGTGTACCAGTGTTAAGAGTAAGTTGGGTTTAAGCAGCAAAAAAGTGAAGAGGGATGATGTCTGGTGTGCGTTTGCGATCCAGGTTCCTGTCTTTGAGCCTCTTACTTGCAATTCTTACAAGAGGTTTTGCCTGGTTTGAAGGCAGGGGTGTCCAGCCTTGGCAACTTTAAGACCGGTGGACTTCCACTCCCAGAATTCCCCAGCCAGCCCATCAATGGGAACCAGAGTGAGCTTAGGGGGAGAGAAAACTCTTAACTGAACCAGGAATTGGGTATGCCCAGTAGAGATGATAGCAATCTTCCAATATGAATGATCACATGAAGTGTTACTACCACTTTACAAGG